GAGGCTTACCGAAAGGATTACTCCCCAAGGAAGTGAAATCCTACACACTCTCCGACAACGGAACCCTCGAGGTCTTCCTGGACAAACCGTGCTTGACCAAGTACGAGAATAGGGTGTTGTTCACAGTGTGGTGAGGGCTAACCTTAGTTACGGCAGCCTAATTGGTGTGGTTGGTTTAAGCCAAGAAGAACTCTTCCTTTGGTTGCCTGTTAAGGACATAATCGTTGATGACCCTATGTCTGGTCTTATCTTGTTCGATATTGGTGTCGCTTATAAACAACTCTCTTTGTCTCTATTGAAGAGCCTCCTCACTGTAAATTTCAAGGTACATCCATAGCTTCCTCATTGTTGATTAGTTTTATTTTTAAAATATAATTTTATATATTTTTTGTTATATTCTTTGAGCTAATATCGTTTTTTTCCAGGAATATTGAAGAATCGAGTGAGGAAGCAGAAAGGGTTTGAGGCTATGAGATAAAGATTCCATGCTGTGTCAACTTTTTTTCCTTCAGAAAACGTGATTATTAATTAGGTTTTTTTCTCTAAATTATAAATAAATATAAGTAATTTTAGGTTATTTTTAGAGTTGTAAAGAAATGCGATTAATGGAAACTAATGTTCTAATCACATTCAAAGATCCACTATATTTCTCTCTGTAATTTTTTAATAATATACGATAATTATTATATAATATAGTAGAAATTTTCTTAATCCATTTAATATATATATATATATACTTTGTAAAAATAATTGTTCGAGTCATGATCCTTTAAGAAGAATAATATTTTTTTAGTTCCTTATTTAAGATAATTCGTGACCTGAATTTCTAAATTTTAAGCTAATATTATAATTTATAATAATAATAATAATAATGCTTTTTTTTTAATATTTCCATCCACATCTTCACGTTATTTTACAAGGGAGGGTTGGGTTGATGTTGTTGAATAATTAAATGGACCCACAAGCACCTAAATGTAGGGTACATTAAACATTGTTATACTTGTATTTTCATTGTTCTCGACTCCTATTAGTCACTAAATGAAATCAACCAATCATGTACTATAGTTAGAAGGTATTAATCATTGTAGGACATTCCCATTAATCTCAAATTTCAATTTATGTGCGTGTTCATATCCTACTGTTTTGAATGCTCCTCCCTTAATATGCCCATTTTATTTGTCCTTTCATATGCACCTTAAGATAACTCCAGGTTTCAACTATTTTCTTTAGAGTGAGTTAACAAAATCAAATTAAACCATAATATCTGGATAGTTACTAATTAACATCTTAAATAGTAAAAATATTTTAAAATATAAAATTATTAATTATTGTTATTTACTCAAGAAATAATTATATTATAAATATTTAGATAAAAGATTAAAATTTTATTAAAGAGTATTAAGAATACATAAAATAAAATTATTTTCTCGAAGTAAAATAAAAAAATTAAATATCAAAAGATCAAATTAAACTGAATCGAATTTAAAAAAAATCTGTCCAACCCAAAATGATCTGATCTCACCATAGTTTTATCGTGTAATCCAAAATAAAGGAGAGCACTAAAGATTCACTACAGTTGTATTAGGGTCAATTTTTGGTTTCAATCCCTTTATAATGCTAAAGTTTTAGGTTTAGTTCTTATACTTTAATTAGATATAATTCAGTCTGTCTATTTTAATAAATCACTAGCTAATTTAAATAATTAAATATTTCAAGTGAAAACACTCCTAAAAAATACTATTTTAAAAAAAATTGTCAATTTAAATGTAAAAGTTTACAATAATAATTAATTGGACTAAGTGATGATATTATAAAAGTAGAAAAATCAAATTATACTAAATAAAAGCAAAGTGATTAGATCCCAAAATTTGAGCATAATAGAGAGACCAAAACTACAATTTGACCGTATTAAATAGGGCGAAAAGATGAAGTGGTTCATATTATTAATTTTGGGTCATCTTATTAATTTTGGTTACTGAAATTGGATTCATAAATTAATTTTAATGTGGGAAATGATAATTTTTTATCCCCCCATGTGATACTTTCTTATGACATCGGATGCTGATATCTTACCTGTAAAGATCCTTATGTACATAATTATCAAAGTCAACGGTTAGTTTGTAAAAAATATTATTATTTAAAATATAAAAATAGATATAAAACATGGAAATATTAAAAAAATAAGTATTAAATAGAAGTAAAACTATTTTTATTTTCGGTTAAAAGTTACTATAACTAATATTTAAATGGATTATTATTTGCTCACTGATAATAGGAAAATCTTCTTTGTAGTTTTAATATATTTTCATGTATTTACAATGAGGTAAGATCCGTTTACAATGAGGTAAACGGATCTTATATTTATTATGATCGTTGTATGAGCGAAAATAAACGATTGAGATTAATAGTTGAAATTGAGAAGATATTCATCGAAAAGAAACAAACAGATAATCTCAGCGATCTATTTTCACCCATCAAAAGATCCTAAAATATATAAAACTAAGCATAGGTGAATCTATTAATAATTAAATAAATGATTAAAAATATATAATAATAAATTAAATTTATTTATAAATATAAAAAAACCTATTAAATAGCTATTATATAAAAACGTACTCATTAAAAAGCTAAAAGAAAATGAAATTATGAATTGAATTAATAGATAATGAAAATATCATTTTGATTAATAGATAAAGAAAATATGATAGTGGGTTGGGTTTTTAGGTGTTCTCTGGTTGGAGCAGAATTTACACATCGAGGATTCTGAGGTACACTAAATTTGTATTTGGGTCCCAACCTCAAAAAACTAAAATTATTTGTTTTGAGTTAGGCAAACCTGAAATTTTATTTTAGGGATTAAAATTGAATTAATTTTTTTGAAGGATAAAAATATAATTTTATCATTGTATAAATTTTAAGGGGATTAATTTTATTTCTTTAATTTTAAGAGTGTTAAAGCAACTATCAGTCCTGCATGGGATGATTCTTAGGAGTGAATATTCAATTAAATTGAATCGATTTGAATTAAAAAATTGAGTTAGTGGAGTTGATGAGTCATATTTTATAATTTCAACTTTATCTTTTAAAAAATTCAAGTCGAGTTGTTCGAGTGTCTATTTAAATTTAATTATAAATATTTATAATACTATGGTATTAATTGATTTCAATTTAAACAGCTTTCTATAACTATATATGATATACATATGCAATTCTTCATATTTTCTATATGAGATTTACATATATCATGCACCTAAAGATACTTCATCTTATCATACGTGTGTATGAAATTGTATACTTCACTGACCTGATCTTTGAAGGATGAATGGGGGCTGGGGAGAAATGGGAGCATCAACTTTAAATCTTCTTGGTCGTATTTCATCTCTCTGACCTTTAAATTTAAGAGTTTTTCTTAAAGATAATTAGGTGATCTTCAAGAGACGAGTCTTCTATCAATTTAAGTGAATAAATGTTGCTTTCGATGCAACTTGTTAATCAGTGTTTTATTCAAACAAGATTGTTTCAATTTTGCCCACAAGGAGATAATTTTCTTTTCTTTCAACACATCCTAAAAATTTTAATTTGATAAGTGTAAACGAATTTGAGAAAAGACTTTTTGATCTTAACATTGTTTCTCCTTAGGTGTCAAGGACGACGACATCTTATCGATCCCTTCCAATGTCTAACCTAAATTATTTTGTGCAAGAACATCCTGAATCTTCACCTACCGGTTTTGTTAACATATCCGATAAAACGCTACCATTTTTGTTATTTTTTCTACTGGTTTTGTTATTATTGGGCACTTTATCGGAAATATTAAAAAACATTAATGTTTTAAGTAATATTTTACCGATTTTGTTAAAAAAAATAAAAAAACCGATAGCGTCTTTCCTTATCCGTATATTAAGGCTATCGCACGGTAGAACTTCCCTGCTAGACGTGTCTATACTAAAAATATATTCCAAAAGGTGTACTATCTCATAAGTATTAGTGCCAAGTCCTCAACCAAGGCAGCCCCACATCTTAAATGAAAAATTCATATGACAATTAAATGATAAATATTTCATTTCAACAATAATCCTTTTAATAAGTAGTTTTCAAAATACTTTTCAGTGTATATGTGATATCATATTAAAACTTTAATTAGTTGTTAATTTATTTATATTTTCCTAAAGTACAATTTTCAATTATCTATCAATAATTATAATTAACACATAAAAGAATCAAATTATTGCCAACATAAAATCATATAACTAATTCAACATTCACTCCCTCAATTCAAATTAGAGTTAATTAAAAAGTCATACATAAATTATATATTATAAAACTTGAATATGAATCCTAAATATCTAACTACCTCAACTTAACACTGTCTAGGTCTCTCTCTTTTATCATGTAAATCCAAACGAATAAAGTATATAAATGGTTACTAAATTAGGATTTGAAATGAATTTCTGGTTATTAAAAATTTAAAAATAAAATAGTCATTAAACTTCAAATGGTTAAAAAATAGTCATTAAATTTTATAAGCTTATTACGAAATAGTCATTGAATTTATTAAACTGTTATAAATGATCTTTAAATTTATCACTATTGTATAACTTACATCAATAATTTTATAATAGTTCAATAAATTTAATAATCATTTTATAACTCTCGAAACTTTAATGACTAAAAGATCATTTCGGCATAATTTAATGGTCGTTTGTGTACTTTACCCAAACCAAATCCATCCCTATTTCACTTCCCGCACGCTATGAAAATAGACCCACATACATAGAAACTTTGAGAAGAAAGAAGCACTAAAAAGAAAAACAATGAAACACCAAAGGCTTCTACTCTAAATCTTCCCCATCCTACTCTTTTCTTCTCTCATTTTCTCGTTCCTTTTTGTGCATAATTGAATTGTTAGTCCCACAATTATATATATAATTACATATATAAGTGCAATTTTTCATTTGTTAATTTATAATAATATTAATAACAAGTTATAGCAAGCCGCTATGAAATCTTTTGTGGAATTTGTTTCATGTTGCGTTAAAAACCCTGAAATGTCTACTACAGAGGAGGTGGTGGCGTCTCCAAGGAGGGAGGAGACGAGGACTTTAATGGCTCCAAAAATGGCGGCACTGAGGAGGAAGAAGAAGAGGGTGAAGGTAGGGACACCATTCTCTACTACTCCAGAGTGGAAGCCTTCGTTGCATGCAATCTCGGAGGATACTGTTATGGCGGAGAAAAGAGAGAAAATGCTGCCGGAAGCGGCAACAACGGCGAATAGGGCGGTAAAGAGGAAGAGCATGTCGGGGTCCCTTTCCAAAATTCACGTTCGAAGCCACAGCGACGACATGGGGTAAATTAAATTTTCTTTCGAAATATAATATTTGGTTTAGGTTAAATCATGGTTTTGGTTCTTTTAGAATTCTTCAATATAATATTTAATTTATATACTTTAATATAATATAATTTAAATTTTTTATTAATTCAAATGGGTATTTTAAAGAAAAACAGACCTATCAGTATCTTAATGGGAATAATAAACATGATTTATACTAACTACTGATTTTATAAAAATATAAAAAATAATTTAAAATATATGGACGTTATTATAAATTTTACAGAGAACAAAAACTAAATTTGACCTATATCTGTGGGTGGTTAATATTTTCCTCAAACAATATCTTTTTTTTTCTTCTTTTTTATTTTTTATTTCCTTTTGTTTAAAAAATTCTTAGATTTATATATTTCCATGAACTCTCAACATGTTTGTTAGGGATGGATCGAGGGGAAACAGATGAGGAAGCATTGTATTAAATTTGAAAGACGACATTCATTTATAGATTATATTGAGCAGAACTAAATTACTTCTAAAATAGTCTCTCTCTTTTTTACCGTGACATAATAACAAATGCCATTTTAGATAATATTGTTTATTTTTTTAGTAGGACGGGGGGAGTTACAACCTGAAACATCTTCCCAGAAATGTCATTTCATGTGTTTATATTATAAAATACTATTAATAAACACTTAATTATTATTCCTTAAGTAACACTCTCGAAGAGCGAAAACTATTATTTCAAAGAGGGATTGGCTCAATAAGCAATGAAGTGATTCCACCCTTGGCAGCTTTGCCAACAAATGTGTAGCCATCACCTTCCCTGTAAAGGACATCCATCACCCTGGCAAGGTTTAAACTACGATTCAAAACCTCCTTCGGCATTTCTGTTGGTTTCAAAAACTGTTGATTCACATCCTTCCATGAACTCTCCACGTGCTTGTTAAATACATCATATGCCTCTTGTGCTGTTACTCCGTATTCTTCCATGTAACACTCTATTGCCGAACAATCATCCTCTCTCCTATATGCTTGAACTGCACCAGAAAAAAAATAGAAATTAGTTATATGGATTAAACATTTTATTTGTTTCAAACCATAATAAAAACTATTGTTTGATTTCATTATGATGACATTGGATTATTGAATTAGAGTTCAATTTCTTCTAATCATATAATATAAGTAATTAGTTATACCTTGTGTTCAGCAACGTCATCCATGAACCTGCAGATAATTGTGGAAGCTTTGATGATCTTAGGGTCATTGGCTGCCCATTTGAAGGTATCTGGGGTTACAATATCTCCCATTCCAATGAAAGCCGTAATAGCAAGCATGGCATAACCACATGTTGGCAATGCATTAGCCTTAAACTCCTCGAATGATGGTTTGTAGTTTTGAAGAGTCCATCTGGCCTCCACAAGGTATGCTTGAGCAAGTCGTATCATCTGAGGCAGCACAACCGCAACAAAATGTTATTTGAGTCCGAGATTCACTCAGATCTTTGTTCTATTGTGTAAGATAAATGTTTGACAAAGTACATACCGAGTTTCTCGCATATTCAACACGATATTGTCTCCCATTTTCAGCCATCAACTGTTCCATTTCTTCGTAAACTTCTAAGAGTGCCTTGTAGCTTACTTTCATGTATTCTGGGAGTTCATCTATACATTTGATATCCCACCTGAAATCCAATTTCAATTTTATATTCGATCATTTCTCATAACATACATGCTGGAAGTTGATTCACAACTAAAGAAATCAAACCTCTCAATTGCATTTGTATAGGGAACGAGCTCATCATAAGTTGCATATGAGTCATATGTGTCATCTACAATAGATGCCATTGCTATGACTTTTGTCAACATTTTTCTACCAAGTGAGTATATGGGTTCAAAGTACACTCCCATAATCCAAAAATACCCTTCAACAACTCTATCCCTTGCATATGGTAGCTGTCTTTGAAAGTCTAAATCCTTCCACCACCTAAAACGATTATACCATGCAAAAACCTCATTAGTACATTTAAATCTTCAAATTTTAATTCATTTAATCGATCTACTGTTCAAATCTTAACATTTGCAATCCTCCCAGTGTTATGAGACTGATGTAACATGTTGAAAAAGATTAAATCAAAACTTATTACCTACAAATCTCACTTAGCTCTTTCCTGTGCAAAAGTTGTAACATGTTGAAATCAATCTTTGCAAACTCCAACAAAGCCTTGTCATGAGATTCAATATCTTTGTATACCGAAAGAAAGTGCCTCGCCTCAACCCTTGGCAATCCTCTTCGGATTGATTGTTTTAAAGCATGAGAAACTTGTTCGAACAAAGGATAGTTTAAAGCAGCGACTGAAAGTTTTAAATGGTTGGTGGTGAGAGAAATTGCTTCGTCCAATATATCTTCCCCATGAACCCTCAAATACGAAGCTTCGTAAAGTTCCAACAGTCCTTCAATATCGCTAGTCACGGATGACTTGAAATACCCTTGCTCATCTGTAAACTTGTTGAATACCTCTGCAATTAAATCACCCCAAATACAATATCGTTATCAAACATCCCATGCTATTTCTATAATAGTTATTTTTTATTTTTTTTTTAAAAAAAAACCTATGCTGTTGTTCCAATATTTACCGCATGAAACGTCGAAACCATGCTCTCTAAGTAATCGGAATCGAAGAGATGTAGTGTAGAGACCGTTCTCGACGTTGTTGTCACGATGGATGTTCTGTAATTCGTCTTCGATCTCCTTGGTGAAATGGTAACTCACACCCAATCTTTGGACTGCATCGATGAAGTTTAACTTTTGGCTCGAATTGGCCATTGGTGCCACAATCATCTTTCTCACTACTTCTTTCAACACTTCATGTCTATGTTTAGTTTGAGCATCGATTTCCTGCTCGAAACAATGAAAATTTCTTTAGATTAAAATCAAAAAAATAACTAAACAAATAATATAATAGCATTATATATACATGTATATATATATACCTGGTCAGGACAATTGAGGAAGAGATCACCCCATATGCTTGGCTGAAAGTCGGCCTTGGGACGAATTTCATCCTTACCAGAGGGAGTGGCAGTAAGTGGTGATGAAGAAGGAATTTGAGAAACTTGTGAAGCCATTTCGATGGATTTCAAAGCTTAATTTGCTTCCTTTTTTGGTTAACTCTCGAAATTTAGCAAAGATTGTGTGAGGTTAAGAGTGCAATTGTTGCATGTATTTATAGTTAAATTCAAGAAAAATGTAGGGTCCAATGAAGGATAAATTGTAAATAGATTGAAAAGTCATGCGTTGAGTCCTCTTTTGTTTGTACCTTTTTTTCTTCAAAGTTGATGCCTCTATAATATTATTAGCAAGGTTGAAAGTCAAGTTGATGTAAATTTTTAGTCACTGGTTCATTGGATTGAACGACTGAACTAAATTATTTAATTCAACTATATACTAAATGTTAATTTTTTATTTTAAATAAATCATAAAAAGTAATTAATTAATAAGAATTTTCTATTTTTGGGTATGTAAAGAATCATGAGCTGCTAATTCTTTCAAAAAACTAATAAGGACTGAAATTTTCATCAGATGAGCTGTTAATAGTTATTTTGATATAAAATAAATCATGAAAATAGTAATTAATTAATATGATTTTTCTATTTTCGGGCATGTAAAGAATCAGGTGGGCTGCTAATTCTTTCAGTCAACTAATAAGGATTGAAATTTTCATCAGATGGAGTTGTTAATTGTTATTTTGATATTAAATAAATCATAAAAATAATAATTAATTAATATGATTTTTCTATTTTTGGGTATTTAAAGAATCAGACGAGCTGCTGATTCTTACAATCAACTAATAAGGATCGAATTTTCATCAATGAATATGTATTGAAATTTAAAGATGAAAATGATTGATGTAGAAATGTTTGGGGGCATGAGTAGTAGTTAATGTATTCTTGTCACGTGGCATGCTCTTGGCCAGCATTTTTTCCAGGTGGCCAGCATTTTTTAAACTACTATATTGTATATTAGTATTTTTAATACTATAATTTATTTTGCTTTTTCCATCGTACCATTTTCTTATATTATCTTTTATTATTAAAACTAACATTAGTCTTAATTTCTCAAGTGATTTTAATGATAAAAAAAGAATATTATTATATTTAGAGATCTTGAATTTTAGTAGTTGAGTCTATAATACATATGCATTATTTTTCATACGAACGCAATGGGTGAATTTTTCTTATTTTATAGCATGTTTTTATCTATTATTATATTATATTTTCTTTTTTCTCAAGATTTGATTTGATGTCGTCTCTTCAACTGGCGCTTATTTAGTTATTTTGTTAATTAACATTTCTTTGAATATTTTGATTAGTTTTTTTTATTGATAGACATTTTCAATCGCTAAAGATATGTTGCGATTGATTAATATTTATGTCTATAATTTTTGAAGTTAATATATTAAATCTTTAACATTTTCATCGAATGATCTATTTTGTTTATAAGTACTTAGTTTGTACACTTTAATTTTTTTTTAAATAATTGATTAATATGATTTAATCTATTATAGTTTCATAAACTTTTTTTTTTGGTAATTTTATTATATTATATTTTTCTTTTGGTTGTTTTTTCAGTTTTCAAGATTTTATTTTGATTAATTCGAATCGACTTATATTGTACACCTTCTAACTTTAATAAATGAATCTCCCACCAAAGATCTTTATATAAATATATTAAAAATTTAATTAGTAGTGAGATGCTTGTCATGTTACTTTTGTAGTCGTACTTAGTATAGCGAACTTAATTTTCTTTCTTCTATTTTTTTCAATGTTGACGCCTACAAAATAATATTAGTAGATAACGTTTAGAAGTGTATAACAAAGTAGATATTTTAATTGAATATCATCAATTGATCTTAAACTTTTAGAAATATCATATTGGTCCTTCTCTCAGTCGATTGCCACTTGTCGGACAGAATGATGGGTATACGGAAAGTACCATCTACAATAACTCGCACTAGAATTCAACGAACAAGTCAAAGGCTTGTAACTGTCCGGTGGATGTGGAACTTCGGAAGTCAGAGGGTTCTTGAATAGTAGAGGTGATCCGAAGGAGATGAAACACTTGTTCCCTTTTAATCGAAGAAGAGTCCTAAAGTGATTTAAGCTGAGACTTATAAAGAGCGTGGTAACGCCTCATAAATGTGATTTTCTATTTTAGCAGAGTTATTTCCAAGCCCACACATATGTTCGGCGGATGGCTCTCAATGCGTAGTTTTTATAAAATAAATGTAAGCTAATATCTCTACACTAAAGATGTTGCGAAGGACCTCGACAGTTAAGTGAACAAATTTTAGGTTAGACGCAGTTGTCTATGCGGTTATATATATATATATATATATATATATATATCATGCGAAGGATTTAAATTAGATTTTTCACTCTGCACCTTCCATCATCACAAGTACATTCATTAACTGCCCTCTCTCGCTCGTGCTGTGACTAATATTCATTTTACTGGCCAAGTTTGCTAAGCAGTATGAGTGATGGAGTTTGGATGCCCCTGATACACATTTGTTGCTGTAATTTCGATCGATTTCATTCTATTCTGATGTTTTGAGCCCTCAAAATTGGAATGAATGGGATAACGTTTTTCAATACCAAAGTTGATATCCTTCATTGAACTAGTTCAAGTTTCATTTGTTAAGAAAAGAAACACTTATTTTGTTACATGTTAAATCAAATCTAATAAATACTAGTACTTAAGCAACTATATCATTTTATTGAATTTTATCTTTTTTATGATGTATGGATTCAAAAGTATTGTGTCAATTTTGGGAGACGATATTTATTTTTTAAGGTAGTAACGGTAAAGAAACTTATTTTATTTCTTACGATTTATACATTTAGTTATTACTAAAGTGTTTATTTTGAATACTAGTAATTATCTAACAACAGCTCACAAGAGAAATAAAAGGAGCAACGCACTAAGAAGCTCTTAGGAAGGTGAACAGAAGCATCTTCTCATAAATATATCATTTCATGGGTTTATATTTATAAAACATTATTAATAAAAACTTAATAATTAGTCCTTAAGTAACACACTTGAAGAGGGAAATTATCATTTCAAAGTGGGATTGGCTCAATAAGCAATGAAATGATTCCACCCTTTGCTGCTTTCCCAACAAATGTGTAGCCATCGCCTTCCCTGTAGAGCACATCCATCACCCTTGCAAGGTTCAAACTACGATTCAAAACCTCCGTCGGCATTTCTGTTGGTTTCAAAAACTGTTGATTAACATCCTTCCATGAACTCTCCACGTGCTTGTTAAATACATCATATGCCTCTTGTGCTGTTACTCCGTATTCTTCCATGTAACACTCAATTGCCGAGCAATCATCCTCTCTCCTGTGCTTGAACTGCACCCGGAGAAATATAGAAATTAGTTGTATGGATTAAATAAATTTTCTTTCAAATATGGATAAAAACTGTTGTTTAATATTGTTAGGAAGACATTAGATTATTAGAGTTTGATTTCTTCTGATCATATAAGTAAATTATTGTACCTTGTGTTCAGCAACATCATCCATGAACCTGCAGATAATTGTGGATGCCTGGATGATCTTAGGGTCATTGGCTGCCCATTTGAAGGTATCTGGGGTCACAATATCTCCCATGCCAACGAAAGCCGTTATAGCAAGCATGGCATAACCACATGTTGGCAATGCATTAGCCTTAAACTCCTCGAATGATGGTTTGTAGTTTTGAAGAGTCCATTTGGCCTCCACAAGGTATGCTTGGGCAAGTCGTATCATCTGAGGCAGCATAACCGCAACAAATGTTATTTGAGTCCGAGATTCACTCAGATCTTTGTTGTGTAAGATATATGTTTGACAAAGTACATACCGAGTTTCTCGCATATTCAACACGGTATTGTCTCCCATTTTCAGCCATCAGTTGTTCCATTTCTTCGTAAACATCTAACAGTGCCTTGTAGCTTACTTTCATGTATTCTGGGAGTTCATCTATACATTTGATATCCCACCTGAAATCCAATTTCAATGTTATATTTGATTATTTCTCATAACATACATGTAACTGGAAGTTGATTCACAACTAAAGAAATCAAACCTCTCTCAATTGCATTTGTATAGGGAACGAGCTCATCAAAAGTTGCATATGAGTCATAAGTGTCATCTACAATAGATGCCATTGCTATGACTTTCGTTAACATTTTTCTACCAAGTGAGTATTGGGGTTCAAAGTACACTCCCATAATCCAAAAGTAGCCTTCAACAACTCTATCCCTTGCATATGGTAGCTGTCTTTGAAAGTCTAAATCCTTCCACCACCTACAACAATTATACCATGCAAAAACCTTAATTAGTTAAATCTTGAAATTTTAATTCTTTCAACCTATTTTAAAGGCCGGTGCTTCCTTTATGGTATGAAAAAAATAAAACAAATGAGTGAAAAAGATTAAAAAGAAACTTACCTAGAAATCTCACATAGCTCTTGCCTGTGCAAAAGTTGTAACATGTTGAAATCAATCTTTGCAAACTCCAACAAAGCCTTGTTATGGGATTCAATCTCTTGGTATACTGAAAGATAGTGCCTCGCCTCAACCCTCGGCAACCCTCTTCGGATTGATTGTTTCAAGGCGTGAGAAACTTGTTCCGACAAAGGATAGTCTATAGCCGCTACTGCAAGTTTTAAATAGTTGGTGGTGAAAGAAATTGCTTCGTCCAATATATCTTCCCCATGAACCCTCAAATACGAAGCTTCGTAAAGCTCCAATAATCCTCGAATATCGCTCGTCACGGATGACTTGAAATTCCCTTGCTCATCTTTAAACTTGTTGAATACATCTGCAATCATACATCCCATGTTATTTCTTTAATCGTGATATATTTAAAAACACTGTTGTTGTTTCAATATTTACCGCATGAAACGTTGAATCCATGCTCTCGAAGTAATCGGAATTGAAGAGAAGAAGTGTAGAGATCGTTCTCGACAACGTTGTTGTCACGATGGATGTTCTCTAGTTCGTCTTCGATCTCCTTGGTGAAATGGTAACTCACACCCAATCTTTGGACTGCATCGATGAAGGTTAACTTTTGGCTAGAATTGGCCATCGGTGCCACAATCGTCTTCCTCACTACTTCTTTCAACTCTTCATGTCGATGTTTAGTTTGAGCATCGATTTCCTGCTCGAAACAATGGAAATTCCTTCGTGTGAAAATCAGTAAAATAATTAAACAATAATATAATAGCATTATATATACAGGTATATATATACCTGGTCAGGATAATTGAGGAAGAGATCACCCCAGATGCTAGGCTGAAAGTCGGCCTTGGGACGAATTTCATCCTTACCAGAGGGAGTGGCAGTAAGTGGTGATGAAGAAGGAATTTGAGAAACTTGTGAAGCCATTTCAATGGTGATCAAAGGTTAATATGCTTTTTTTTTTGTCAACTCTCGAAATTTAGCAAAGATTGTGTGAGGTTAAGAGTGTAACTGTTGCATGTATTTATAGGTTAAAAATGGCTGCTTTTAAGTCAATAAAGACGAGTGAAATTCAAGAAAATTATTGAATAAAATATACAGGGGTACATTGGTAATTGCCAATAGATTGAAAAGTCATGTGTTGATTCTTCTCTTGTTTGTTTCTTTATCTTCAAAGTTGATGCCTTTAAAATATTATTAGATAACGTTTGGAAATGTAATACAAAGTAAATATCATCAATTGATCTTTAAAATTTTAAGCATAATTCATTGAAGGGTAATCATTTTGCTTCCTTTTCTCGTGTTGCTTCTCTTGTTTGTTTCTTTTATCTTCAAAGTCGTGTTGCTTTATTGATTAAAAGTTATAAAATGATTATTTGACTATTTATATATTTTAAATTCGTCATTTTAAAAAAAATGTTAACGGTCGTTTGGGTTAAATATTAATATGTTGATAGAGATATGATAAAATTTGATTCCATAATCGTTTCTTTTGTATATTCGTTTGAGATTGTAAGATCAAATTTTATCATATCCAGACAGCTGTTTAACATCTATCTCGGACTGTCGTCAATTTTTTAATGAAAAATGATGAGTTTGGAATATATAATTAGTCAGATGATCATTTTGCAACTTTTAATCAACAAAATAACACCTTATAGTCAGAGAATCATTTTGTAACTTTCAATAGTTAAAAGACTCAACAAAGCAATGTCCTATAATCGGAGAACCATTTATGTATTTTATCAAAAAAAAAATTAATTATATAGTTATATCCTTTTAAAATGTTTTTATTAACTTCATTAATTGGGTATCATTTTAAAAGAAGAGAATTAAAATATTTTTAACCAAAACTGAAATGTTCTATAATTTAAGTATAATTACACTAAATTAAAATTTAATTATTGCAGTGTACGTCTGATCAAAATTCATTTATAACTTCAATATTTATCTCTCAATTTCAATACAAATTAAAAGTAATTATATGATAATAACAGCTTAAGATGACTTCTATATAGATACTTGATGATGAAAGTCATGCAAGGTATTTTACTTGGATTATTGAAATAAATTGATTTTATTTTTTATTATAGAAAATTACATGTTTTTAATGATAAAATTTACTTGAAAATTGTATGTTTAAAAATCATGTTTTTTTTAATTAATTTGAAGTAAGTATAGGGTAGTATATGTTCAAAGAACTTTCAACCATTTGAAACGCTCGTACCACTGCCATTATCGGTGCTCGAACCCGAAATCTCAATGAATAACAACAATTCTTTTACCATTGAAATAACTGAATTCGTGCAAAAATCATGTTTGTTTAGATAGAATGAATGAATAAATATATTTCTGATTAAGAATGAATTATCCTACAATGCTAACAAAACCGAATTGATTATTAAAAATATAATAGGATGGTCGTATTTGGTGATGTCATGCCAAATTTTGGACTCCATGCTTGCACTTACATGTCCAAGTTGACAACGGAATTATGTATCTTAGCCAAATGTTGAAAGATTATTACTCATCAATTTTAAAAAAATAATCAAAACACATTAGGCTTCACGTCCAAGCTAATCTGCAATCTTTGTTATTGTTGTTATAATAAAATATAGGTTAATATGTATGTTTACCACCTAAGCTATTACTTTTATTTTGTTTTAGTACGAAAATTTGATTTTTTTTTTCAAAACCACACCTAACGTTTAATTTAGGTTTCAATTTGGTATTTATCGTTAAAATCTTAATGATAATATTGACGTATCACCATAAGGTAATACCATGTCATCATTGAAAAAATTAAAAAAATGCCACGCCAGTATTCTGTTGATCTTTTAACAGAAAGATACCAAATTGAAACTTAAACTAAATATTATGTATGGTTTGTTTAAAAAATAAAGTTTGAGTACCAAAATGAAATAAAAGTAATAATTTAAATAATAAATGTGTAGTTTACCTTAAAAATAAAATCAATTTATAAATATAATACAAGAACTTTTAATAAAAAAATTTGAATAGTTTGGAATGATTATAAGGTAATATTTGTTACGATTTTTTTTAATCAATTGACAATATGCACACACCCTATAAATAGGACTGAAAATGAAACCAGAAAAATTGAAAAATCGATCCAAATTGAACCATGTGGTTTGATTCAGTTCGAGTTTTTCATTTTACAGTTCAGATTCGATTCAGTTTAAAAATATAATTATACAATTTGGTTCGAGTTTGATTTTTCTATATAGAAATCGTTTGTTCCAAATCAAACCGAAATAAATCTCAAAACTAATAATACTTTTTTATAAATTTAAATTTATATATTTGTACTCGATTTAAATTTTTTATTTGCTTTATTTGGATGTTGAGTTTGAAAAATAGTAAACATTCGATAGCGCAAAACTAAATCGAACCAACCGAAAATCGTGATTTTTATGCTATTTGGTTTCGGTTTCAATTTTTAAAAACCCGCAAAGTGCGGTTCAGTTCATATTTTATTGAAAAAACGAGTCAAAACGAACCGAATACACTCTTATCCATAAATACGAATGCTCGAATTCATAACCTCCCGATAGATTTTAATAAACTTTTAACTTGTTTTTCATCTACTTTTGAAAAGGAAGGCACGCCGAATTTCGAGAAAAAAGATTATATGATATATTGACATATAAAATATCTGGAGAGACTCTCCTGGACTTAAAAGAGTGTCAAAAAGTCCTTTGAATCGTCATAAATTACAAATTAGTCAAATTTAGTGACGAACTTCACAGTTTATAGCTACGAAATTCCAACCGAATTCGTCGGAGGAAAAAAAGAGTTCAAAACAACCTTTTTTTTAAATAAAATAAAAAAGAAACCATTAAAAGAAACACTGCCGATGGCTCTGAATAATAATGTTTACACTATGAATTTAACAAATTGGATTGTGAATTCCATAGTTGCAGTTCAGTCAATGCTAGAAATTAGGGATGGCAGTATGACCTGAACTCGACAGGGAAATTCAAAACCTGGTTAAGTTCGGGTCGGGTCGGGTCGGGTTGAATGATATCGGGTCGGGTTCGGTTTGGGGATTTTTCGGGTCGGGTCGGGTTCGGGACAAGGTATCCCCGCCCCGCCCCGATTATATATATATATATATATATATATAATATTTTATATTTTATATATTAATTATATATATAATATTTTATATATTTTATATTAATTATATATAAAATATTTTCGGGTTTGGGTTCGGGTTCAGGTCGGGTTCGGGGCAAAAAAATCTCCGACGGGGCGCCCCGATAAAAAACCCGTCGGGGATCGGGTCGGAGTCGGGGACGGGGATTCATTTCGGGTTCGGAGACGGGGCGAGCAAAACCCGCCCCGAACCCGACCCGTTGTCATTCCTACTAGAAATGTATATTTTAAACCCGTCACTAAAAAATTATTATACTACAAAAATATTCAAGGGTAAATTAAGCAAATTTCTCTAATGGCGTCTATTTATAATTGAAGTTGTCAATTGAAATAATATCATCTTTTAAAATGCTTTATTGTTCATGCATTATTTTACTAATGGCATCCATACTGATCAAGAGTTTAATATTCATTATTTTACCTCCAACGATAGGTTTTAAAATTAGTTAACAACAAACTTATTTAACATTAAATAATCAAATATTGAATTTTTAGTAGTACCAAATCAACTTATTTGGCACGCTATGTACAATTAAATACAACAACAACAAAATCATATTCCTAAATGTAATGGGGTAAGGGGAGATAAGGTAGTAGATTGCCCCCAACGCCAGTTTGAGAGCAGCTTTCGTGGAAGACCTCCGGCAGTCAGAAAATTAAAAGTGGAGATAAAATGTAATACATGTATAAATAAATAAATAAATATGCTATGTACAATTAAATCTTCATTATATATATTTTAGAAATTTTCATATTAGAAAAAAGAGTGGCGACTTTAAAAAAATTATTTTCAAAGTCCCAATAATCAAATAAAGGGAGAACTTTTAAAAATCAAAGTAGTTAAATATATCAAATCGGTATAAAATGATTTCTACGCTATCATAATAAGTATGATAATTTAATATAATTTAATAAAATATAATGATTATTTTATACTAATTTGATAAAATTTAATTAATATTTTGTAATAATTCGATAGAATTTAATAATTATAATATAATAATTTTTAAATTTAAGTATCATATTTTTTAAATTTTTAATAATTAAAAATAATTTAATAGTCTCTAATATAATTTACCATAAATTTAATTTTCAATTCACTTTTCAAACATGGTGTGTGAGTATATAAAATTATAAATTCGGTTGATTATTATTTTTTATATGATTTTAACCTCTCTCTTTTTTTCTCTGGCGTAGCCGCCAAGCCGCTAAAATTTCAATACTTGGCCACAAAACGTTAAAATAAAAGAATAGTTGGACTCAGGCACGCATGCATATTAATATAATATTTATGTTTATAAATATATATATATATTGATAAATCTAGAGGGAATAAGATATTATTGGTTTAAATATTTTCAATTATTTGATAATGAATGCTCATATTTATGTATGTACAGTGTTCTAATCTAAAATCTCAAAAAAATAACAATAATTCTTTAACTGCTAAGGTCAATTGATTCGTACATATATATTAAATAGAAATCTAAGATTTACGCTATTTTTAATAATATATTTTTTGGTTGGTGAAAATAGTTATCCACGTGCTTGACTGAGAAACTGTTGACTGTTGAAAAAAATAGAAAACTAGGTAAATTTATTTAATCAAATTATTCGGCAGGTCCTTCAAGACTAAAATAATTACTCAATTATGAAAAAAAAGTAATTTAATCCATATTTAGAAGAGGTAACTTTTTCAAGTTACAATAATAAAAATGACTTTCCCTTTTTTCTCATATGTATGGGGTAAGGGGAGGTAAGATAGTAGACTGCCCCCAACACCAGGTTGAGAACAGTTTCCGTAGGAGACATCCGAATTATGAAATACTCTCCATCCAACTCAGTTGGTAGAACACAAGGTTCTTAAGCTTAAGGTCGTGGGGTCTCAAGTTACAATTATAATTATAATTAATTCATCCAATGTACTAAAACTATAATCATGGGCGAAGCCCAAATAAATTTAGGGGCAGGATAAAATTATAAAATTTTAAAGGTCATAATATAGTTTTATTATTATTTTAGTTTATTATTATATGGCTTTTAAGGGGTTTAAACTAATATTCTATCATTTCAAAGGACAAAATGAAAATTTACCATAGTTACTTTTTTTTTTTAATCTTTAAAGGGACAAAGGGTCAAAATATATAAATGAGAACTGCATCATGCTTGGAGGAGGTGGGAAAAAAATTCTCCAGATAGTAGTTGCCGAAAAATATTTTTCTCTAAGTCCAGTTTATGAAACTAAAATTTGAAGTCAATTTGAATCAAACTTTTTCGAGTTGAGTCCTTGAAAGGATCTATTTTTCGAATTGAGTTTTGTTTCGTTAAACAACATATTAAGCATATTCAATTCAACCCAATTAAGCTTATCCCAATCCTACGGACGTTTTAATTTGGAATTTTTGGGCCAAACTTAAAGTCAATGATTTAGTGTTATAACGGGAATAAATTATGGTAGAATGGTCGTTTTCTATGACGTGTATTCATGATATTGAAGTTTAGATTAATTAATCAATCAATCGGATTATTTTAAAAAACGTTGATTTATGACCATGTTGTGCTACGTACATCAAATTTGGTATTACTATAAAGAATGAATCCTTTTGTATTCTTATACATTCAGCATCAAATGGTACATCAAATCCTATAGAATAACCCCAAAAAATGATTCAAAAAAGGAAACAAACAATGGTGATTGCCTGATGGAATAAGAAAGTTTCATCATCCATCAATAATAAACTAGTCGGTTTCAACCGGAGCTTGAAATCAACCTGGTCGACCAGACATCCCGATTCGACTATAAAACTGTTACTACCTTTGTATGAATTTCAACTATCACAGCGCCAAGCAGAAGCTGATGCAAGGTTCCGGTGCTTCCACCCCAACAACATTGCACCATCTTTAGCCGTCAACGTGTAATGTTTGGAGTAACACTTTAGCAGGCCTCTTATCACTGAATTCACATAAGAGCTTAAAGGGTATGGTCGGAAACCGGCCATTGTTAGCCTAGACTTCCACTTGCCAAACAGCTCATGGCGTTCGACCCTCTCCTTTCCCTCGCAGGCAATGATGTTCACGATATCCCGGGCAAGGCAGTGCTGCTCGACATTAATTCTTTCCTTTCTGTGCCTCGGCAGTGTCACGTCTATGGACTCAAACATTGCCGAGTAGTACTCCAGAGTCTCGATGAACCTGGGGAGGAAAGGGGCCGTGTTCGTGTTTGCTTCTTGCTCAACCAAGGTGATAACCTTGGGTGAAAGCAACTTTACCATTCGGAGAATTCTGTCCCTAGGATTGTTCACATCAACGCTCTCGTCGGGTGTGTGGTGTAGCTGCAGCGGGAAGTTGACAGCGAGAGCCTCCCCGGGCCTGACATCGAGCATGTCCCTTGTGATATCCGGTGCAAAAACAGGCATCCCATGAAACTCAACTGGAATATTGAACTTCTCTGCTAGTGCCATTACACGTCTTTCAACCGCTTCCAATCCACCACCACGAGCATATTTAGAAATGGGATCATCGATTCCTGTAATCCGTACATATGGAGCTCCACCGGGTCTGGCTGCAAGAGCTTGCAAGAGGGTCATCCATTGTGTTCCCTGAGCAATCTGGAAATCGATTATGTGGATCCGATCTTCAGTTCTGCATGCTTCAGCAATGGCCCCATTGGCAGCCATGTAGCCGAACTTCAAGTACGGACAAATTTCATAGAGGATATGCATGTACGAGAGCAATTCCTTGCCTTCAGGTTCTTTGCAACGAAGGGCTCGATATATGTTAGACCCCGATGCCTCCTTCCTTGCAACCAACCCTTCCACCATGTAAGCACCAAGTCGCTGAATTGGCTCTCCATAGATAGACACGGAAGCCCTGGCCTTCGCAATCAACATATTGAACTCATCAATATTGTTCTCGTAGAGAGCCTTAGCACACGCAATCAACAACTGCTTTAGATTCCCCGGTGAACTACTCTGGAAAGGCATATCCTCTATTGCTTTCAGAAGTTTTTCAACAGGAGCAGCTTCCGTTAATAGCCTATGCTTTGAAACAAAGGATGTCCAAGGTTGACACACAAAAGATCCTTGGCACTCTGGACCTGATGCCCTAGATTGCTGGCCTGTTGTCTGCGTTCTATTGGTTACTTCATCGGCCTCATCGGGTGTCATAAGTGCAGTCTCTAGCTCCTGTAAAGCATATGTTATTTCGTGGCTAGAATTCGCATCTTGTATATAAGAAGTTCCACCAGAACAGACCGGTAAGTTTTCATGCTTGCAGTTTGGAGAGGGACTCGATTGATGGAAATAAGAGTTAGATTCAAGCGAAGAGTTACAAGAAGCACATCCGGAGAGATTATCTGTGGAGTTATACTGCTCCTGGCTGTCACTCAACGCTGTGTTGGTATCAAGTTTAGTTGAAAAGAATGAGACCGGTGATGAGTTTCCTATGTCGGATTTCGAAGAAATAATCAACATATTAGGTACCGAAGGAACAGATGAATAAGAGGTTGGGTAGGATAAGCCAGCGGCAACCACACCGTATCTACAGAGGCGCGAGTCCATGCAATGAGTTTGCATCAGCTTCCACTGTGATAACAAGATTTCGGGGGGAAAGAATATTTATCTGCAATGAGTTTGCACAAAACTTTTTCAAAATGACACAATAAACTTCAACACCAGAATCAAATTTAGCTCTTCAGGAAAACAAATTCCACCTGCAAAAGCAAAGCAAAAACCACCTAAGTTCTATGTATTCACATTTAGCAGTTGCCACCAAAACCGAAATCTAAATCAAAGAGCTAAAGCCATGTTCATAGTCTAGCTTCAGTGAACAGTACATTAGTCAATGCAAGACCGTGCCACTGAGAATAACATAGATACTGGGAACAGACCTGACTTAGAATTTTATGTTGGGATAAAATTATAATTTTTTAGAGACGAACTTATAATAAAATTTTAGAGGTGAAGAGAGATTATTAATATAAAATGCAAAACAGCTCATAAACAGCAAATCGGTAATCTAGTAGGTTCATAGGAGTATGCACATTAGAATTCAGCTTGATGAACAATGTCGAAACAAAGCTTCCATTAAACTTAAATTATCCATTTTATTTTACAACTTTAGCTCGAAATGGAAAACTCAGGTAATGTTCTCATTTCCGTGAAAACTAGGCATGAAACTGAAATAAAAGATAAAGAATCACCAAAGAACACAAAAAGAAACACCTTGAAAAAAGAACACAGAGAGTCAATTAACAGTAAAACTAGGAAGGTTACCTGGAAATTCTTGTTTCTTAAGAACCAAAAATCAAAACCCAAAGCTCAAAACCAAGTAAAAAACGAAATTTTATTATTCTTCCACTTGAAAAACTTGGACTTTTTCTCTTTTTTCAAAGTTTGAAATCGAAAAACAAAGGAAGCAATGAAGTCTAACATTTATAGATGCAAAGAAAGGAGAATGTAACGGAAAGATTTTAACGGTATACGTTTTTAAAATGTAATGGAAGGTAGAGTTTGCACCGCGACTACTAACGGCGTTGAAAAACTAACGGCCGCCGACCATGGTGAGCACACGTTTCTACAGCAATCTTCGATATTTCCTTTTTTTTAATGAGTGGTAAGAGAAAACACTGCTCCCACGCGCCTCTCTGGACAGTGTGAAATAAACTCCGTCATCCATTGCGCATTCATATTCAATGAGTCGGCAATCTCCTTTTCTTTTCCTTTATTTCGTTTTTTATTTAAGAAAATAATTATACTCTTATGGATAAGATTCAACTGAATCGAAATCAAAATGGTATTTAAAAAAACTATAAATAATTTATTTTTCATTGGTTAAAATTAACAGGATAAATTATTTATTTGATACCCCATTTATTTTATTATTTTTATTTTTATATTCAATTTTTTTTAATAAAAAAGTATTTAGTTACATCTTATTTTTATTTCTTTTTATTAAAAAGTTAACATAAATAACAATGTGTCCTAATATAATAACAGTTTCAATCTAAGTTTTATTATAACAATTTAGTTCAAAATTTATCAATTACAATCATCTTAAATGTTTGTGTTAAACCCCACGTTATTATCAGTGACGAATATTTGTGTTAGATACAACTTTATTAAAAAAATAATTAAATTACAAAAACAGAAAAATTATATATGAGGTACCAAATAAATAATTTACCGAAAGTAACATTATTAATCAAATTAAAAAATATATTTTAATCACGTGGTAATTGTGTAATTATTTCGCTGTCCTCGCCTACTAAATTTAAAACAATTGTAACAAACGAAATGAATTAAAAAATTCTTACGCCACTCGTGACGAAAAATAGGGAAGTATCTCTCAGCATGCCATGTCAGCAAGTTGTGGGGTCCAATTGAGTGATATGGATGAAGTCAAACAATCTACCAACACCATTTTTGCGAGTGTTTTGGATCAAGTCTAACAATTAAGGTAATAATAAAATTTAAATTTTCCTTCAATATTCTATATTAAACATTAATGAACACACTATAAACTTATAATAAGAACAAATTTATATATGAAGAACAAATAAAAATATATAGTGTAAATAAAAAATAAATTTATAGTAAGAATATATAATTAGGAGTAGGTAAAAATTTAGTCAAATCAAAAGAAATATTATAAATTTTAAATTAATTGAATCGAGTTATTTAGTTTTTGAATGAATCGAGTTATTTAGTTTTTGAATAAAATTAAATAAGTAATTTGTATTTTCGAATTGAACTTTTACAACTTGAATACCTAAATTTTTTCATTTATTTCATAGCAAATCATAGTCATTCGAGTTGAAGCAAAGAGTATCAATACTGATTTGATGTTATCAATACCAAAATGGCATACTAGAATGCCTTGGACTAGTGAGTATCGATATTGTTGAAAGGAATATCGATGTTCTATGAACAATATCAATACTGCATCAATCAATATCGATACTAACCTTCTAAAATCTTAGATTTTTAAGACTAAATTCATACAATATCTATATTATATGAATAATATTGATATTACAACTCAAAAAAGTCAAGACTAAGGATCAAAAATAACTCTAAAAAAACTGGACCGGCCAGCGAACTGGACCGATCAGCGAACCGAACGTGCTACCGGTTCACTGGTTCAATCGGTCAAACTGGTCAGACCGGTCGTAAGAACCGGATGACGTCATAATTATTTAAAAAATTAAATAAAAATACAAAAAACATTTAATAAAAAAAAATTAGGTTGAACCGGTTCACGGTCCGATCCGGTTCGAGCGGTTCAAAGCCGGTTCAAACGGTTCCTTGCGGTTCATTAGAACCGGTTCATTAGAAATGATCGATTAGACAATACCCCAAGAATTACAAATAGTGAAATTAACACTACCTAGTCTATTAATATTTTTTTTCCTTTTAATTGTATACCTACGATATCCTTAATAACTTTGAGAAGATCCTCAGTTGGTCGGGTACAACCTTGGAACATTCTTCGATTCATTTCCTCCCACAGAGTATAAATATAAGCGCACCAAGCAAGCTTCAAGATTGTTGTGAGAAGGAATTTACCTTTCCAAGTACCAAATGCCCAAGTTTCCATGTTCCCCAAGACGATGCAGTTCGTCTCAACCCATTAAGGAACATTATAGTATCCCATAAAGAAACAATCAACGGACATTGGAAGAACAAATGGTCTCGTGTTTCCATTGCATTATTGCATAAAACACAGTTACCTTAAGAAGTGATTCCCATTCTTCGAAGTCTGTCTCTTGTAGGAAGTCTATCAAAATGAGATATCCAAGTTATCAAGCTATGTTTCAGAATTATTGTTCGAATATTAATTTAGAAATTCGAGTCGTTATACAAAATATCAAAGGAATTGATGAAAATGGTATCTCGTCATTTAATCAAAAAAGCGCTATTGTTGATAATAATATTTTCTCCCTTAATGGGAATGAAGGTAAATTAAATAAAAAAATAATATTTTTTTTAAAAAATATTATTCATAATAATGATATTTTTTGTAAATCAAACGCTCGTTTTTATATTAAGTTGTTTAATTGAGGTTTAATATAAAAAATGTGTTCAAATTATATATTTTTTTCATTTAGGTGGATAAACTTTTTTTTTGTCAATGTAGATCCTAATGTTATCAATGTTACTATTTTAAATACATAGTTTGTCATGACCGTAAACAAAATTTATTACTTGAACACGTGTGTTTATAAAATTTTAAATTTTTGTTTAAAATAAAAAACTTAAAATTATAATTTTATTTAAAAAAAACTAATTTTTTTCAAATCTTAAAAAAATCACAAGACTTTTTAAAGATTCTAATTCCAGACTCCTTTACTCATATTGATCGTCGCCCTTTGTCGATCATACAATGAAAAGGTAGATGAAAGAATTAAAGTTTTCCTGGACAGGGCATAGTCGCACACGATGAGGAACCATTACTGAATAGAGAGATTGTGCATCTAGAGCAATCAGGCGTTGGAACACTGAGTTGAGGGATGTGGACAGTGTATCTGTTTTCCTACTGATCTTGAGGGACTAACTGATCAGACAACAAAGGTCTGCGAAGCTATGCAACTCAATGGCGACAATGGCACAAGAATTTAAGCGGTGACTAATCTTATTTTTTTTAAATATAATAATATTTTTATTTTTTTAAATAAAAATTTCAAAAATATATATATATATAAACGTGACACATGTCTGATAAAAATACTAAATTCTTTTTAACTATTGTTACGACACATATATTAAAAATAATAACTTAAAGACATTAAACATATATATTAATTGAAAAAAATTGAAACACATAATGAAAAAGATAAAATAATTTAGATTTTTTTTACATTAAATCTTTAAATCTTTAATTGATTTAAAAGAATACCCTTAAAACATTTATGCAACATATGCATTTGTTTTAAGAAAAAGACCACATCAATCAACACCATTAATCAATAGCAAATCGCGTTAATAAATGAGACTAATTAATAATATCATAAAATTAAAATATTTATTTTCTCAAAAAAAAATACTAAACTCTTTTAATTATTTTAGTTAAAACCTAGGGATCAAAATTCTAATTTTAACATGAGAGTGAGCAAAACCATAATTTTACAAAAGAGGAAAATTTTTCTAGGCCTTTCTTTTTTATTTTTCCTCGCCACCCAATCAAACCAAGAAGAAAAGAAAAAAGTGTACTCCATCAGCATCTCCCGTAAGGCACAGAGACGGTTCCCATTCTATACCCATTTTAGGCCTTTTCTTCTTATAATTTCTTTGATAATCTGACTTTCGATTCTCTAGAAAAAGCCCTGCCATTCTTGGATCAGGTGAAATTTCCCCTATAGATTGTCTAATTTTTATTTTTTTTTTGGTTTTTGTTTGATATTAAACTTCTCTGATTATGGGTTTTGCCTATATGATCAAGTTTTTCTTTATTTCTTCAATTTGTGTGCCAAGAATCGTTATTTGTTTGTAGGGAAAAGACGAATTTAGGATTCAATATCACTTATTTTTCCAAATAATTTTTTTTTATGATTTTGTGTTTGCTTGTTTACAATTTACCCTATATTTTATATTAAAATGATCAAATGTTTATGTAGTTTTAATTTACTTCTTGAGGTTTGTAAGACTTGTTATGTTTTAACTTGCTGATGGAAAGGGAATGAGATGCCCGCTTTAGTTTCGTTGCCAAATGGAATTTATGCTGCCTGATTTTTGTTTCTTCGAATTTACAGGAAAAGTTATTCTTGTTCTTGATAACAATATGTTATCTAAATTCGAATCTGATGTGGATTTCGCATAATGTGTTCGGGTTGCTGTTAGGCTTATTTGGTAAACGAAGTTCATGTTTTAGTTTTGTTGCCAAATGGTATTTAGGCTGCCCAAGTTGTGCTTCTGACATTTATGATAAATTATTCTTATTCTTGATGGTAATATGTTATATAAAGTTTGAACCCAATGTGGCATTCGTTTATCATGTTCAGGTTGTTTCAGGCCTCTTTGATAAACAAAGTTTCATGTCTGATCTCGACGTCCAAATTCCTACCGCCTTTGGTACATTTTAATCTTAACTTCATTAGCTGCATTATTCATTGATGCTGTTGATATGTTTGTTCTTTGTTAATTTCGGGTTTTAGCCCTTTTCTCTTTTTGAATTCGTTGTGTTAGATCCCTTTGCTGATGCAAATGCTGAGGACTCAAGTGCCGGTGGAAAGGAGTATGTTCACATCCGTGTTCAACAAAGGAATGGTAGGAAAAGCCTGACAACTGTCCAAGGGTTGAAGAAAGATTTCAGCTACAACAAGATACTTAAAGACCTCAAGAAGGAGTTCTGCTGCAATGGTACAGTGGTTCAAGACCCGGAATTAGGGCAGGTGCGTGTATAACCATTTAAGCGATAATCAACCATATCTATTTTTGGTAACCTTTGAAAAAGTTCGTTATGCTGTGGTTTATATTTCAGGTTATTCAACTTCAAGGTGACCAACGTAAGAATGTCTCCACCTTCCTTGTTCAGGTAATTGTCATTGCTTTTTGGAATCAGTTGATGTTAAGCAAAAGTAACTTGAACTGAATTGTGAGAGGTATATGCCTGGCATGAGCATGTTCAGTTTCATTTATTTAGAGGGTTCTTGGAGAGTCGTATCTACATGCTTATTTCCGAGTATACGTTTGGTACAGGTTTTAGACACGAAGCGGAAAAATGATGAGTTCGACCAAATATATTTTGGTGCTAAAGTCTCTAATCTTCTTCTTTCATTTTGTTTTTACTAGGCGGGCATCGTGAAGAAGGAAAACATCAAAATCCATGGATTCTAAGATGCAGCAAGCTTAAGATTTTCTGCTAATTTGCACACCTTGTTTCGAACCTGGAATATAGTACCCGATTAGGAAAATATAATAACAACTACGCTTTTATATCATCTCTATGTTGTTTTGATTGCATTATATGCTCTGCACCTATTTCTTTTTGATTTCCAGTTCACTGGATTATGTAGTGTTGGATGATAAGAAAATCTTAACGAACGTCTTAGAGTATTTTTGCATTTAGCTATGAAAAAATAGGAGCCTGCAATAATGGATGAATATTCCATTTACAAAAGGGGAGGACAAAGGTGAAGCATATTTCACTAAAGACAAACCAAACCAAGTATTTAAGCATATTTCAGGAACTCATCTATGGTATAAATATTATGTATCCTTGTTCAAGTTTGAATTAACTTGATATGAATCTAAAATTTTCTACAAATAGTTGAGTTTATTTATATTTGTTTATATTAATGTTTAGATTTTCGAAAATAAATATTATTTTTATGGCTTAATGAGAAAAATAAGTGCCCAAGTTTTGTCATTTGTTAACTTTAGATGTTTGCTTAAAGTAGATGCTTAATGTTTCTAATTTTATCTTTTTAAGTGTTTACGAAGTAATGACCGTTTAAAAAATTATTATATAACATGTGTTGTATATATATATATATTTAAATTTTTATTTTAGAAAATTATGTTTTATTAGAAAACCTAAATTTTCAAAATTTATCATAATACCCTAATGTTAGAAAATCTTAAGCTTGAATTCCTCGTGCTACCGTAGTCATCGTTAGTATCATCAACTAAATGAGCATTGCACCAAACGAAGAAGATCCCGATTAGTTCATGCGGCGTTGGGATTAAATCTCAAATGATCACACAAATCTCCCTCTCCCTTCAATGGTAAATCCCCTAACCCCGCGCACGCATCCACCAATGCGATGATAAATCCCCCAACCATGCACGCATGTCATCAAAGAAAAGTCACCAGCTTGCTAAATGTACCCCATTCATGCGCTTCCAATTATTTAAATAATCAATTGGTAAATCTCGACATGAAATTAGCGTGGCTGGCGAAACTGGGTTTGTAAAAAAGCCGCTAAAGTACTACTCTGTTACGGTGTTTTTGAAAGACGCCACTATAAATTAATCCTATTACGCCGTTTGTATAAAAACGTCGCTAAAGTACTACTCTTTGCGGCGTTTGTTGAAAAAAACTACTATAGATGAACACTATTGCGGCGTTTGTATAAAAACGCCGCTTAATTTACTATTTTGTGGCAGCGTTTGAAATGTAAACACTGTTATATGTTTAAAGTTAGTAGCGTTTACTCTCAAAACGCCGCTGTAGAACAATTTTGTTGTAGTGTATATATATTATAAAATAATATCATAAAATAAGTATCAACATATTTACAATTTACAGTCTAAAATTAAGTCAAATTGTATGGTTATACGAATTACATGTCAGTGTTCAACATAAAAAAAATCATATGGCCCCTAACCCAAGCTCCAAGGTGTTACTATAGTTAACTTATTCCACTTTCTGGTTGGCCCTTTCTAATATTTGAGCCTATTTTATAAGTCATTTGTATTGGTCTATTGGTGATGGTAATATCATTCATTTCTGGCATGATGTTTGGATCCCCAGCCTGGCCCTTTGTGTGATTGGTGTACTAATCCTCTTTTAATTGAGGATTATTTGTGTTAAGGATGTTTCACCTTAGTGGTGCTTGGAATTGGTATGCCTTAGCATCCTTTATTTTGCCTTTAATTTTGTCATTCCTCCAAGTTTTATGGCTTTCAGAACCTTCTTTTGGTTTAACATTGATATTAATTGATTAATTCAGATTAAGTATTACAAAAACTTTTGATGAATAGGATAGATGCATTTAGAAATATATAAGATTCTTATAGATGGGCAACACATGATATGACATTTCATAGTGGTTTAGATGATGAGAAATAGGGAAGATTTTTATAGTTCACCTCCTCTAGCTTTGGTGGAAGGTCACTAGTTGACATGATCGTTTCTAGAAGATTTTAGTATTGATCCAGATAAGGAAGAAATAGTGTAATCCCCGAGAGCTCAGGAAGGGAGAAAGAGCCCATCTTTTATCCTAGGGAAGCTACATTTAATTTCTCGAATATCTAATAGTCACGGGATCATTCATATGTAGAAGTAGGTATAACTCTTAATAGGTTGGTCTCTAATCATATTAATATAGTCATGTTATTTAATTACATATTTTAAACACATTTAAGTTGTAACAAACCTGTCTCTATCTCTAGCATTCTTTTTTTCCCTTTTCCTTTTAGTTTTATAAATTAAAAGGAGAGAATAACTTGAGGAAGAGGGAACTCGATACAAACCCAATGCTTAAATACATTTTTCAAAGCAAATTATATCATAAATTAAAGGGATTTAAACCGTAAATAATCCACAATCACATTTTCTATGTGTGAATATAGCATATTGTGCATTATTGTGTACATAATTTCAGTGGTTTAACCCAAAGGAAAGTCATGGATATTCTTGTTTATGATCAAGCAAAGCATAAATTCAATATGAAAAAAAGAGACTCAAATAAACTATAAGGAGTTGAAGATTTATACTTTGCACCATAAACCAAGAAATCCAAAGCAAAAAGAAGAGAGAATATATGGAAAAGAAACAAAAACTTGCATGCCACTGTTTTAAAGTTCTGGGGTAATTTTACTAGGTGTCCTCAGACTATAATGTATATTTTAAAGTGGCCTCAAACTTTAACATATTTTAATCGAATTTTCAAAGTATCAATATCATATTAATCAGGTTCTTCTGTCAGCATGGATTTATAGTGGAACAGATTTAGAACACAAAAACATATTTTTACCCTTTGCATGAACAACTTGAACGTGACATATTAAGAAAACATGTAATGTCAAAAAAAAAATACGAGCATGTGTTTTAAATATATTCCATTAATTAATATCCGAGTCAATATTTAACGCCAAATCTGAAGGTTAGACCAGTGGAAAGACCAACTTGATATGATGATATAGGTATTTTGAGAATTCAATTAAAATATTTTGAATTTTGAGGATCGAATTAAATTATGTCATAGTTCAAGGACATTTAGTGCAATTAGCCCTAAAAATATCCATGCAAGTTGCCTACAAAAACCCTGGTTCTGGCAGAAAATTGTTGCAACCAAAGTTTCAGTTCAGCTTTTCAAAAACTCTAAGTCTTTGTTTGTTCTTCCTTGGTTTTTCAATGGCTAAGTCCATTTTCAGATGTCAAAGCAAAGTTTTTTTAGCATTGGGGTTCTTTTGTTTCATGCAGATGATGATTCAAAAGGCTCATGCAAGACAATTCCAAGTCAATTGGGGTCTTCACAATGGCTCCAATGCTGAAAATTACAATCAATGGGCTGAAAAGAACAGATTTCAGACTGGAGACTCACTTGGTAAGTTGCTGTTATTGAATATATTACTCGGATTAGTCATGTTTTCCAAAAGTATGAATATATTACTCGGATTAGTCGTGTTTTCCAAAAATACTCGTGTATGAAACATATTTGACTGTATCGGTAAACAATTTTAACTTTTCAAATGTTATATTGGCAGTTAGTGTTATATATTTTTTATTATCTTTGTTTTTTGATGTTATGTATGTGTATGATGGCATGCCATAGTGTTTAGCTATGCACCAAATGATGATTCAGTGCTGCATGTGACCGAGGAGGCCTACAAGAACTGCAATTTAGAATCACCAATCGCCAAATACACCGATGGCCACACTGTTTTCTCATTGGATCATTCAGGTCCTTACTATTTCATCAGTGGCAACAAAGACAACTGTGGAAAAAACGAGAAGTTGGTGGTGGTTGTCTTGGCTGATCGAAGCAACCGTTCTTCGACCGGAAATGAAACCCTTGCTCCTTCTCCTCCGCCAGTCGGTTCTACCGAGCCACCATCTCCGGCACCTTCCGGTGAGTCTCCGCCGGATGGAACAGTCGAGAATAACCCGACCCCGGCACCTAGTGAAGAGACTAATCCATCGAAAAATGCCGCAACTTCTTTGGCGTTGATGAGTGTCACTGGTTCTACTATGGGAGCAATGCTTGTGGCTTCAACTCTTGTTTTAGGTTTCTAAGAGGGAGTTTTCCATTCATGAATTTGGGGTTCTTCCTTTATTATTATTATTATAATTATTATTATTATTATTATTATTATTATTGATTGTTTAGATTTTATATTTATTTGTTTGATTTTCCTTTGTGGATGTTTATTTGGTTAAATTGTTTTTTCTTAATTTGTTGTTAAAAAACTAAAAGAATAAGGTTATAGTTGTATAATATTTGGTGTGGTTGTTTGTAAACACTTAAATAAATTAATTTCAAGTTTTTTTAAAATAATTTCTATACTTCTATTTGTATATAAATTATTTTGAGTAAATTACGTGTTTAGTACCTAAACTATCAGTTTTATTCTGTTTTAGTACCTAGACTTTCAATTGTTTTCAAAATCATTCTTAACGTTCAGTTTTTGTTTCGTTTTAGTACCTCGTTGTTAAAAACTTAATGGTGATTTGCAGTGACACCTTTTTTATGAGTAAATTGCATCATTCATCACTTAATTATCTTCTCACTTCTATTTTGGTAACTAAAGTTTTATTTTTTTAATTTAATTACTTAACTTTCAAATTACTCCTAATTTAATCACTCTAACTTTCAAATTTATTTTTTAAATTTTTAATTATATATTAATAAAATAATAATAATAATTTCATGTCACAAAAATTATTAATAAAATAAATTAGAGTGATTAAAATATAAGCAATTTGAAAGTAGAGTAGTTAAATTGAAATTTTTTAAACTTCAATACCAAAATAGGAGTGAGAAGATAGTTTAGTGATAAGTGATGTAATATAACCATTAACATGTAGGGTCGTTAAGTTTTTGACGGCAAGTTACTAAAATAAAATAAAAACTAAACTTTAGATATGATTTTAAAAAAAATAAAAGTTTAAGTATTAAAATTGATCAAAACTGGTAGCTTAGGTACTAAATGCATAAATTTATCCACTATTTTTTTTTTCAATCTATTTACGGTTTATTTTAAATGAAAATTTTATTTAGGTTGAAAACTGATTCATGTATAAATTAGAAGTTAATAACTCATTTCTACGTAAGTAAAAAGTTAAAATACAAAACGGTAAAATTCGAAAACCAGTTTCTGGTAGAATTCAAAAAGCCTCTTTTACATATAGATTACTGCGAACCCTATACAAGTGGATTCAAAAACAAATAAAATATATTTCTTATTATAAAATTCATAATTGTTTTGATGGCACCGGTTCATATATCAATTAAATTGAGTAAATATTAAAATATTATTATTTTAAAATATAATTAATATTATTATAAAAATATTTTTATTTTTTATTTTTAAATAAAATAGTAAAATTATATATTTATATAGAATAATTTTAATACTTCTCAAAAGAAGAATAATTATTTGATATATTGAGAATATTTTTTCACAAACACGAGTGATATTATAACCATTAACAAGTGTTGTGATAAATTTAAGAATTTTGAATAGAGTTAATTATATATTTCATCATTTAATTTTAATTTCACTATATTTTGATCATTAAATTTTAAAGATTTTCAATTTACTTAGTCAACTATAATAGTATTCATGTTTTTATCACTTTATTGTTAAATCATAAACAATTTGATGATATGACATGTGTTTTTTTTACTGATGTAGATTGTTTTTCGTTAACGTGAAAATCATTTGTTGTCCATCTTACTTTTTTATTTATTTTCTATTTATCATATTTCTAACAATTTCATCATTTCTATTAGTTATTTTCCGTCGCAGTCGTCTGGAGTAATTCTGTTGTACAAAAATCGTATGACATCAAATTTCGACCTGTCAAAACATGAATGTTCCATCTAAAATAACATCATTTTAATGTAATTTTAACTTTTTGTAGGGATCCAATTATTTTGATGAGACTTGTCACATTATTACAGCATTTTATTGATTAACACTAGAATGATTAAAATGAGAATAATGTCAAAAGTGAGTAATCAAAATAAAATATTCTAATTTTTAATAATTAAAATTAATTGATGAAATTTATAATTAATAATCATGAAAGTTATTTAATGCATTGAAAACTAGATTATATATTTATATAAAAAAAATTGATTTTAAAAATATAAAAAACATTTTTCATAATTCATTTTTTATATTCAATTTGAAAGTTGACACTATATTATATGAAACACGATCGTTTTATATCTTCTAACACTTTAATTTTATATCATTTTATAATTGTTGAATGAGAGAATATAAATGATAAAAATATAACATTAATATTTTTTAAAATAAAAAGGTACCTAACCATATATAATAATAATAAGAAGAAAAAACCTATCCTCTTAGAGGCAGAATATCTCACCATTTTCTTGGGTATCAATGTGGAAAAAAATTCCCCAATTTTCTGAGGGGAAAGAGTATCAAAGTTTTTGCATTGAAGCAGTGAACCGAACTTATTTCCTATTATACCAACTAGAATTAGAAATAAAATATTCGTCTATCGTGTTTTTATGTCATTTCCTTAATATAATAATCCTCACTAATTAGACTCCTTTACACAATACATTTCCCCCTCTTTTCTCTATCAATGGTTTTTGCCTAATTCTACCTTTTTCATCACCCTAATTGTGTTGTGTAATATTGAATCCAAAATCCCAGCTACCTGCAGTTGAAACATCATGATTTAAAGGCTGATTTCGTAAGGAAAAAAGATAAGGCGGTTCGGGACGGGGCAGTAAGATACTAACCGTGAAAACACCTCCTATTATAGCGCAGACGTTAGTGAGGAAGTGCGAAAACGATTTCGGGTTTTCCGTTATCAAAACCTGTGTACGAAATCAAAATGAAAAACGAATATCCATTGGACTAATGAAAAAAACAAGGAGAATGGAAGTAAAAACTTGTGAAAATTAAGCAGTTTGGACCAATAACCTGCATCGGAGATAACTCGAAATGAAACTTCACAACGGGTATGTATATGCTCTGTGCTAGACTGCTGTGCGCGGTGTACTCGTATTCCTCGATTAACGTATGTTCCCGAGAAGATTTCATTGTAACCACCTCTGTTTTGACAATTTGAAGGTAATGCTCTATCTGAAAATGCAATGCATTAAGGTAATTAGTATAGACTACATACACTCCACTCCCATCACCAATTATCAGGAATTAGTTAAGATCATTTATAAGTTTTAGAATGAGGATTTCTTAGAATAGATTTTCTTTATTCTCGACTAAAGGTCAATGCATATCTTACTCAGCCACAGAGGTAAAACACTAATTTCTTTGAAAAGATGCGTATAAGACGTCCATGGACAACCAAATTCACTTAAGAGGTAAAACAAGCAATTGAACAAAAAGGATCGTATAAAAGAACTCACCGTAACATTCGCATCTAAATCCCTGTGATTAATGAATGACCGACCATTCAACCTGTCATGGCTTCTACCAAGATGAGGTATTAATCGCTTCGCATTACTCAGTAACCAAGGTGAAATCGTTTTACCAAACGAAAGATGGCTTATGACATGAGACATGTTCATTTTAGAAGCATCAAAAGAATGGGCGCCTGAACGAGCAGAGATTATAAGGTTGCCGGGAACCTACAAAGTGCAAGTCACTTGATACGTTAAGGTATATGAAGAATAACAGTTCTGAATTGGCAAACTTTCAGATCAAAGAGATCATATAACCTATGTTGTTCCAATTCATTATTTTGTCAAATTACCCATATCTGACACACACGTGGATATGGTGATATAATCTCCAAAGATTCTCCAAATACATGGAGAAACTTAGAAAAATCTAACGATACCTATGTCAGACACATACGATATCCAACACTCGCACCGATGTCTGAATAACATTGGATATAACTACATTTCTACAGCTCATTTTTCTCACCGATAAACATAAATGATTGAACAAAATAATTACAAGTAAATAAATCTAAAGAACAGAATCTTAGAATCATAATTATTACCTTCTTAACACGCACGTATCCTTCAATTCTGCATCCTCCAGTCAATGGTGCCGGTAGTTTCAATACATTGGATTTATCCTCTAAAGCCAGCATCTGGCTCTCCTGTGGAACAGAAGCAACCAAATCTTCCATTGCCTAGAAGATAATTGCATTAGATCATGTATGCACCTTAATCTTATAGGATTTCTATACTTGATCTGTAAAGTTAAATAGTCAATTCAAAACTAGCTTAGTTGTGTACCTTAACCAGAGTTTCTGCATCACGATCTCCATAATAAGATTCATGTTCATGGTGTCCATGGTCCTCCCTGAAACACATGGACGAACAAGGTGAATCAACATTGCACGTATATATAAGGTTCAGCAGCACTAATTAGCCTAGAAGAATGTGTAATAATCCTCTAGCTGGTGGTCAAACAAAAGTGGAGGGTTAAACATATGCCTGAAAACATAGTACATAAATAAGCTTCACATATCGGAATATAATATTGCTAAGTAACAAGCAAAATAAAGAAAAAGCAGAGTGTGGAAGATTTAAAGAACAGATATATGGTAATAATTCCTTTTACCTCAGATCACTGCCTTTACGAAAAATGCGAATGGATGGATACCCTTGAATATGATGCCTATATGAAGAACACAAGTGAGCATAGTAAACCAGAAAAGGAAGAAAGAGTAAAAGAGAGAAGATTAAATTTGCGGCAAAGTTCTGAAAAAGATGCAACAAGTGGGAAACAATTCTATAATAGAAGCAAGAAAACACATTTAAACATATGGAGATAAATATTGATATGAATCTGCAACATCAAAAAGATCAAAACACAACAATGTAGTTAGAGGTCAAATAATGACATATATTCTCAAACAAGTTAGCATTAATTAACATTTGAAGAAACATCAAACAAATAAATACCTCTTACACAAGTCAACTTCTACAGTACAATCAACCTTGGCCAAAAGAATACGCCCATCTGATTCTGGATCATATCTGTAAAAGGCAAGGGTGCAAATGCATGCCAAATCAAGAAACTATTTATAAATTTAATCCTTGGAAGAGAATTAATGTATGCTCAGACCTCTCCCTTATTATGTTGGCAGTTTTTCTCCCATGATGGTCTCTGAAACGCAAAAAGTAACATGGTGAGGCAAAGGTTTAATCATCTCTAGGTGCTGTTTTTCAGAGCAAGTAGACAAACATGCATTTGCTTCAAGGAAGACAGAGCCTCACAAACTAAGGTCCTACTACAGAATATATCACATCAAAGAGTATATTAGAGAGTTACTAAAATGTTCAATAGTCCAAAAGAAAAATTGATTACTAATAATAATATATTTGGAGACCATATCAGTATAACATGTGTGTATAATGACCACTTTACACAGCTAAGAATTCTAGACAATACTGCTTTCAGAAAGAATCTGCAAGGCAAAATAAAATATCACATGTGCTAATAGTAAATTACCAGGCGAGTACTCCAGTAGCACCAAGGAGCATAAAAATTGACAACTAAAATTGGATACCTGAAAAAAAAATCAAATGAAGTAAATAGAGGTTTCACCAAAATTGGCAATTAGCAGAGAAAAATCCAAGTCAGGACATAACGTCCAAAAAGTTAAATGGCTTGAAACTTTGAATAAATCCACTTACAGATGTGAAAGTTTGTCAAAGCTAACACCATTTAATGGTACAGCACCCTCGACAGTTTCTTCATCAACTTCATCTCCATGCTTAATAGAATGTAGAACAGGTCCGGAATGAAACTCTGCACCAGTGGGTCTTAAATGTGGATCTATTGAGAACTTTCGTATGGTTTTTGTTATGTTCAACCTGTTCTGGAAACAGAACAAACAAATTTAGTCATATGGACCAAAATGTAAATGGTATACGCCACTGAGAAAAAGATTAAGGCATCTTGAAGAATGGAGTATGAGACAGGCAAATATTAACACAATATCCAGCATAAGAATCTGTGGTGTATTTCTGTTTCTTTAGCATAAAAAATATTATAAGTTTAAAAAAAGATAGGGGACGGGGATATAGCTTGTCTGAAAGTATTCTGACATTTTGTCAGTCATTTAGAGTGCATTATCAAGCTTGCAGCTAGTAAAATAATTCAGAGCAAAGCAAGGACCATCCTCTTAAAAGATGTAGTGCAATACAGAAACATAAGTTTTCCTATTCAATAAAATTAAGCAAATGAAACACATTTGATGATAGATACTTACAGTTCCCAAGACATCACTCACATCAACAGAAGCAAATTCACATGATAGCGCTGGAAAACTGGAGATCAATTGGAATAGTCAGCCAACCTAATTATCTATCATTAAAATAAAGCTCGAACTATGTTCAAGGATATTCCAGAAATGAAAAGATATATGCATATGAAGATCACCAACACTATAGCAACCTGTGACAGTTTAGAAGAAAAAGCATATAAATGTGTCCAAATATATCTTGATTTACAAGTAACAATGTAATCCCAACATTTCTTGGGAAAAAAGATTAGAATTTGTATAGAAATCTCAAGGGCGGTCTAAAGCACCCTAAGAACCATAATGCAAAGTGTCTCATTGTTTGTTTGCTGGTCAAGCAAGTATAATGCAACATAGTTTGGACCCTAGTACCATGGGGGGTCAATTTTCAGGCTAAGCTCAATTGAGAATAAGTGTGAGATCTAGCAGAAACTGAAGTACATCATTTCATCACCGAGAATTTAATAAAATTCAAGCCACTGATGCCCATTTCACTAATGTGTCCATCAGTGTATCAATAAAGATAAGTAAAAACTTATATAAGCACATGCTCAATCTACATAGTAAAAAATCCCTCTGCTTGTGGTTTTGACATGAAGTTCACCTGGACCTTCAACCATAAAGCTAATACTAGAATGCATACAAGACTTATCAATGTAATGCACATTCACATACAGGATATACAAACTGACAGATATCACAACCTATGCCTTGTTTCTTTTCCTTTTTACCTTTTGATACATGATGAGACAAAATCTATTATAGGCTACAAGGTGAAGCCAATACTGAAGTTGGAAATTTTCACACAAAAAAAATAACTCAACCTATTACTTTTCTTCTTAGAAATGATGGTAAAACCATCAACGTCCAACAGCCGTTCAAGATTCAAAATAAAGATTATTTGCTAAAACACTGCCACATAAAGCTTAAGACTTTAACTACATAAAAGCTTTGCAACCAAATGAGAACATTGAATGATAACATTGCTACAGAAAGTTAATGCACCTCATGTTAAAATCAATGCGCAAAAAGTCTCCATCAGAACTATTGTCAACAATAACAGATGTAGTGGTGCTGACTGCTAAATAATTATTCAATTCCTGCAAAATAAATTTAATGGATTAAAATAGGGGAAGGGGAAATAAAAGAGAAAATGCTTTCTTTCAAGGAAAAAGTTGAACTAACGAACCACAAATACAACTGAAAAATGTAATCAGTGAAAAGAAAAGGAAATGACAACAACTAATATGATAGAAGGATGTTGCAAAGGTAATGTCTGGGATGTAAAATCAACCTACATGCCAAACAGAATCAAATCAGATTGAAATTTGAGTAAACACACAGGCTGCATACCATTCCAAATAAAAACATCATAGCCAATGCTGCTATTATGGATAACCCTGCACCGGATAAGGATGCCTCTGTTAAATCTCTAGGGATTTTCCTGCAAATGGACGAAAAAATAATTGATAAAACAGAATTATCATCATAAAATTTACTTAAACCCTGAAAAACATTAAACATTAAGCCCATTCGCCAAATGAAAATAAAACTTAAGCAAATAAACGAGGTTTTCGCAAAATTTATTCACACGAGTAAAATCTAATGCTATAACGTAAGCTTTCTTTCATTTCCAGTAAATAAATAAACAAAAATTCAATCCATGTATAGCAAACAGTTGTTAGTTTTGCTCATTTACATTAAATGCTAAGATCCATTAAACTTTCAAACTTCAAATCTTCTGAATCAATCATCAGAAAATTTATAAATAAAAAACGATGAATAAAAGAGAGAGAGCTAACAGATCTGAACCTGTAGAAATCAACGGATTTGATCTTGCTTGAAGAAATCATGACTGATATCAATCACTCGGAATCCGATTTTTTTTTCAAAACTCAAAATAAAAAAAAGAACAGGAATTTAAATCCCAAGAGATCTAGCAATGGAGAACCTTTTTCCAAAGAGTGTAGGGTGAGAGACGAGCAAAGTCGTTTTACGTTTTAACTATTTCGACTCTACTGCGTTTTATCCTGGGATTTTCATTTCCTTTTTTAAAATTATAATAATTAATAGTCCCATGCACATACTTATAAAATATTAAGGTCTTATTATGCGTTTCATCCCTAAACTTTAAAAAAATCGAGAAGTTAATTTCTCTATTTAATTATTATATAGTCCTCTTCTTTTTGAAAAAAAAATAAAGAAGTTAGTTTAGTTGTCGATAATATTTTAACTTGGAATGATATTTTTTTTTAATTTATTACATATAATTTGTTAAATTATTGATTTTTACTAGTTCTTTACATAAATTCTTGATCTATTAATTACCAAGTCAGTGATTAAAGTGAATTTTTACTAGTTTTATATAATTAAATTAATATCTCAATTTTAATAAAATATAAAAAATAAATCGTAACAAATTAAAGTGAAGTCTTATTCTCAACTTTTTATAAGTTAATAGGTATTATAATTAAACTAAAAGATAATATTTATTGATAAAATCTAAACTAAGAAAGTATATTTTTAAAAATATACTAAAAGTTAATGCGCACTATTAACATCAATTTTCATAAATATACTATGAATAACAATAATATTGTCAAATATACTAGTGGTATAAAGTACCCTTCTATGGTATTGACCGGGGTTCGATTCCCCGGATTCGCATCCTTTCTCTAGTTTTGCTGTTTAATTTTAAGATAAACTATCATGAATTGACCACTTTATCATTACCTTTTTTTTCCCACTTTGATCTATTTAAGTTTGCAAATCAAGTCATTATTTTAAAAATTAGTATAATTATATATTGAGTCCTTAATATTTATACAATTTAGTCCTAATTTAATAAATTTAATCATTTAACAAATAGTGACATATGTCACCATCTGATTGGAGAGTTTTTTTCTTATTTTTAACTTATTCAGTTAAATAACTTTTTCCTCCAATCAAAGGGCGGCATTTTCATTTAGATCATCAGTTTTAAAATTTTATCAATATGACCACTTAATTATTTAAGTGTGTCAATCAAGACATTAACATTTAACGAAAGAGTTAATGCAATTATTAAAAAATTGATATAATTACACATTTTATTAATTTGATCCTAATTTTAATTTAATACAACAAATTTAATCTTCTAATAAAATGGTAACCCGTGTCACTATGTAATTAGAGATTTTTTTTTCTTATTTTAAATTTATTTAGTTTAATAATATCAATTGAGCTTCATGTTTCTTATTCGGATGTATGAACCTAGAAACGTTATGTTAACCTTAGCAAGCGACGTCTATGAAATCGTTTCTAAAAACTTTTATCAAGGTACAATAAACTTATTTTATTTATTGTGAGTATTTATTTCATTAGTTATTGCTAATGTCTTGATTTATAATAGTACTAACAAAAACTGAAATGGAGGAATCCCTCCTTAAAAAACAGGAAACACAACTTCATAAAAAAATTGAAGTAAAAGACTTCTAAAAACACTTAACTAATTATTTTGCAGTTTGTTCTATGTGGCACAGGAACGGACACAATATATTATATTAAAGGGTGAATTTATGAAACTTTAAAGGAGATACAAACTTATAAAAGTTTAGGAGGACGAAAATATATTTTTAACAGAAAATACAAAAAAAATACTAAAATTATAGAAATTTAACATTTTTATGGGGACCGTCCCAACCCACCCCCTCTAATTCCATTCATGGTGTGACCCATGAGTTAAAAGAAAACAAAGCATGAAGGAAGAATAATGCAATGGCTATAAACCGGAAACTCGATAAAATTAGGAACTCCGAGACCTTTCTATATGATAAGGTCGCCGCTACCGTCTTCCCGGAAGAACATCTGAAAACAAAAAATCATGGAAGGGTGGACCTGTGTCGGAAACAATGAAATTAATGAGCCCTATTGAAAGTTCAATATAAAACGGAATGTCGCAAGGTCCTTTACCTTCCTGTTCACCAAGAATGTAAAACGGAATATGTGCCACCATTTTGGTGCCTCCTTCAATCCAGTTGACAGTGCCTGGATGGTGCACGAGTCCATTCGAAGGTCGGGAAGGCCCCAAGACGGACAAACAAATACCAGGCTCATCCATTAATCCCAAATAATCTTGAGCTCGTCTCTTCACCCTTGAATCCGATATTCGAGATCGAGCAACCTGAATATGACAATAGATGATTGTTAGGCAACATAATTCGACCAAAGTAAAATGTAAAAAATTGACGGAACTCGTACGACCTTGACCAATGCTACACTTGCTCTCAGCAGTAGTTCGCGGTGGTGTGTGGCAAGCTTTGCGATGGCTGTGATTACAAAACATAGAAGCCTTGATTGCGATGACTTTGTTAAGTTTCTATGGTTAGAATTGACCTCAGATTCCTGCTTCGGACCTAGACGACTTCCAAAACAAAGATTTTAAAGTGAGCATGCAATGGCCAACATTAGAAAGAACTTGTTTTTTTAGAAGACAGAATATAACTACCTAGATGAAAGATTTTCATACAAAAGCAACTCTAGACTTTCGAAAAGTTCCCTGGCGACATCTTTGTGAGCTCCACCGCCCCCACCATGCTCGCCGACAGCCCAACACAGTTGTAATGCTAGTTCTGTCTAAACAGTGGAAATCATATACAATTAGATCTGAAAAGTAAAGCATGGCACCAGTTTATCTGAAAAATTAGGGATGTAATTATCGGACCTTTTCTGTGCTCTCATATACATCCCCGAGCCTGTCAATTATAGGCTTCTGTAGAAGGTTAAATTGGACTGTAACTATATAAAAATAGCAACATTTGCCCATAACATTTAATTCACATTCTTAAAAAAACATGAAACTTGTGTATGACAAGCACCTTCAAGAGTGCAATAAAACCCGGAGAATGTTGAAATGCTGCAAGCATGAACTCTAAAAGCCTTTGACGAGTCTGCAAAAATATAAACCTCTCATGAATCCAAACAATTCTGATCCGACCATCTAAATTTCCGTATCATAACATGTACATCGACAATTAAAAGGTTCAAAATCATACAAAGATATACACTTATCAAACATAAGCATATTGGCATGGGCCAAAATAATTAATGTAATTCGTCCAGATTGTCAGGGAGGATCTAGAGGCAAAGAAAAAAATGCAATGAAAAGCCTTTGATATTTTGAAAATAAATACACACCTTGTACATGTAGTTCTTGTTGGGAAACATCATGGAATATCTAGTCATTAGAATTGGAATTAATGCACAGATTAATGCTGCAAAAGAGAGGCAAGAGCACAAAGTAACAATAAGATACAAGGAACGAACATCAATAACTCTTAATAGAAGCTACATCTATATATAAAGTTATGTAAATGCTAGAAAGGATATCAACCAGATTAGTAATGACATAACGCGTACAGTTATTTGCATCACGCAAAGCTATAGTAAAATACGCATCAAGAAGCCGAGGTGCTATATTGAGTATTTGCTTCAATCTATCAGATTGAGGACTGTTCTTTACAGCCTGTAGCACTGCAGCCACCCCAGGAGAAGCCCAGTGGAGTTCCTGAAACAATCAAGCAGCACTCAAGTGTCAACTTATTTCCAGCTCAGAAAAATGGGGAAATTAGTAATCCAAAACAAACACTAGATTAAAGCTAGGCATAGACAAAATTCATAGCTTGAAATTATAATTTTGTATTACTGAAAGAGTGAGGACTATTACAAGACTAAAGAAAACAGAATTCTAGAGTGAATTTAGAAAATATGGAAATGGTAAAGTGTTAATTTTTACTTGCATATACAAAAAGTTTTAAAATAAAAAGGAGTATTATACAAGAGCATTGGGACACAAAATGATGATTTAGAAATATAAAACATACAGAAAGGCCATCATTTTCATCTTTGAGAAGTTCACGAAACAGAGGATCAGGCGCATCTCTAGTACTGCTTCCCTTGGATGAGTCTCCCCCTCCATCCCCAATGTTAGTACCAGTATAAGCTTCATCCATGAGAGCAAGTAGCATCTGAGTCATATAAAAGGAGTGTTAGCATTTGAACTACATGAGTTTTTTTCTTTGAACATACAATTTATAAAGTTCCACAAATAACCTCAGGAGCTTTACTCTTTTGGGTTGAAGCTACATTGTTTCCCTTTTGTAATCCTGACCTTCGTTCTACCTTTTCCAGAGCCACAACCAAAACTGGTGTACATAAACATATGTCAGACAGATCAATTAGTTTAAGAAGAAATAAGAAAAATCCACTTCATCAATCACCACACCAGCAGAATGCACATAGAAAATGAAACGAAAAAAGAAAAGAAAAATGATCGGATCAACCACTATCAATTAGTTTATGTCAAAGAGTGGTTAGAGTAAATATAAAAGAAAGATTGAAATGCAGAAAGAGGTAAAAGTGTGTATGTAATATGCGCAGAAAAGAGAACAACTTAAGTCAGCTAAGAATCCAGACTATCCACTCACTTGGCAGGTCCACTAAAGATGGAAATAATGGGAGAAATGACCCAGGTGACACCAATCCTGGAAAAACCTTGAGAAATGGCTTTTCTAATCTGGAAAGAAGATACATGACTGTTAATGGCTCATATCTTAGGTTCGGCAATCAACCACCATATCACACTCACTCTAGGACTAAGGCATTTACAATGGAAATAAAACTTAGGTAGGTAAACTTACTTCTCTCCATTCCATGCAATCAGCTTCAGAAGCAAAGGGAAAAACTACAAACACATTAAGAATATTAACAAGACACATGGATAAATACTGGGTCCCATGTTCCTAAATTTAAAAAAATAAAAATATACATTCGGCCAAAGGAATGAAATTTTTTATAAACTTATAACATTCTCCAAAAAAATGCAAATTGTTCAAATATTCATCATCTTTCATGCTTGTTAGAAAGAATCATGTTTATCAGCAGAAACTGCTAATCATACCTGAGGTAGTAAGTTGGGGAATGAAATAAGAAGTTTCTTCTTGTTTACATATAGAAAATCAAGAGTTGCCGCTGCAACAGCAGGATTTGCATACTCACTGTAATCAACATTAGAATAGCACTAAGTATTCAATTCAATAAAAACAGAAAGTTTAAGTTCGTAAAAAAGCATATTAATATATGAAATGAGCATCCCGTAGATTAGCATCGTACCAAACATATTAATTACTAATCCATCCATAAGATTTCCTTTAGATCATAAAGTAGTGCCATTTACATCATTATACTTCATTTTTATCCACTCAAGTTCATTAATTTTTTTTCTTTCTTTTCTGATATTTTAAGAAAAAAAAGGTCTTCCAATTCAACAAACCAAATCAAATAGACAACTCATAGTCTAAAGTTTAACCCTGTAACCATAAAAATGATATAATTACCGGGTCAAACATGAACGGATAAATATCTGCAGACTGGGATCAGCATCATGGAGAACCATCTCTCCAAAATCGAGGAAAAATTGAAGAATTACCTGATGAGCGAATCCCAAATAACAAAAAGGATAAAATGATAAATTATTCAACTAAGCTGCAAAGCTATGAAATACAAACACTCTAACTAGGGAACATCTAAACAATGAAGTGATATTTGATTTTTCAGCCATACCATCTTTAGTGTCGTATCTCAAACCAGCCTTTACACAAAGCAAACATTAAAAATTTACATCTAGTGTTTTTGGAGACTTGAACATTAAAAATGCATATTTTCTTTCAAACAAAATTCACGATTTTACTTTCACATAGAGAATTATCTTCGAAAAGTTTTACATTGTAAAAGCTTCTCATTTACAATCAAGACAACAATCAATATCTTTATCACATACAACAGCTAATGCACTATATACATTATGGAGACAACAAATCAAATCTCAAAAATTATAAAAGTGTCCATTAAATCATAAATTACACTTCCACAAGACGTTTAATCAAAAGTCCAATAATCAATTAAATCTAAAATTTCTATAATCCAAATAAATTCAAATAAAAACAGAAAAAAAGAAGAAGGTAGAAGTCAACTCGAACTAGTAAGAGAATTCAAATGAAATACATATCATTAAATAAATCAGCTATATAGAATATGCACTAAGTCACTTTCAAAAGACGTTTAACTAAAATTCACACCAATTATTCAAGCAACTCCAAAATTCTCTATAATTCAAACAGAAAAAAACGAAAAAGAACAATCGAACCAGTAAGAGAAGTCCGTTGGAAGTGCTAGATTGATAGAGGGAAGCAACGGATCGTTGAAAGAGCTTGTTGAGATGAGGATAGACCCTAGCAACCAAATCCTCGGAGGATTTCTCATCTTGTCTGCAAACATCGCAGAGCTTTTTCAGCGCGTGAAGTAAAGATGGATCAGAGGCTGGATCATTAGAGACATTCGACTCCCTAGCACTGTTCGATACGGTTCGAAGATAGAAACTCCAATCTCCTTCTCCATCGCTCATTTCCTTTTTCTTTCTGTTGTGTTTTTCCTTGGAAAGAAAATTGAAATTTCCCGCGACGGTTCTGAAGACGATGACAAGAGGCTCGGGCAACGACACCGTTTTATGTTTCTTGAATCAACTAACGAACCCTCTTTAATTTCCGTTTTCTTTTTGTTCCGTAAATAAAGCGAATTTAGACCAGCCGTTTTTGAACTATTCAATATCTATTTATTTAATTATTAATGGGTAACTACACTGATGATCCCTCTTGTTTTTTTCATATTTTTGTCACGAGTTTTAAAAAATATTACATTTTAATCAATTTTCTTTTTAATTTGTTTTATTTTGGTCATTGATCCGTTATCTCCATTTATTTTATTGATGTATATCTCCTTAATTCAAAAAATCCAGAATTTGAATCGATGTTTTTCATAGATTCCTCTTAAATTGTATTGATTTATCATAAAAAATTCATTTTAGTTGAAATTTGATTATTCATCATGCACGAAGATTCACGCTAAGAATCCATGACCGAATGGTTAAAGTAGTTAACTCATAATTGACGGATTCGTAGGTTCTATTCATATTGAATGTACGCCAATTGGACCCTCCTATAAGTCTATTGAAATTGGTTATGTATCAATAAAATCTCATTATCTTTACATATTGAATTGGTGTGGTAAATTCATATCATAACATATGAACAATAAGAACTAGCATTCTTATTGAGACTCGAACTCTAAAAATGTTTAAATTATTCAATCTTTGAATTTTAGATAGAATATTAATGTGACTTTAAACTTTACATAAAAGACTAATTTAAGCCCTAAATTTTAAATAAAAATATCAATTTCACCCATTGATTCAATCAAAGTTCTTGTCCCCGGCTATCACTCATCACCATCGTCGGTCAAAGTCGGTTGCTGCCACCAATCACCGCCAACCGCTATTGTCGATATCACTAAAAATTTAAAGATGAAAAAAAATCTCCTTATTATATTTTAAACTACTATATAACAGTATAACAGTGAATTTACTAAACCCAAAATATCATTCTGTACATTTTTGACGTCAAACATTTTCCAATACAATAATAAATCTATGTTACTAAATATTAAACGTAATATGTTGATTTTTTTATAAATTTTTTCATATAATTTGATTATATGCATTGAACACGAAAATTGGACAGGAATGAAGAAAAATTGAAAGAATGGAGACAATATGACAGTAAGCAATATATAAATGAACGAGTGTACATTGCCCTAGTGCTTGGTTGGTGCCTTGTACTTGGTGAACTGACATTTAATTGAATAAACGGAATCCAAGTCGTGTTTTCGCCATGTGGCTTTTCGATTCATTGTGCAACTCTTCCTTATATATAGCCCTGCTATTAATCTTTTCATTTGTAATTGAAGATTGAACTTCCATGGCATCCGATATAGGTAAGAAAGCAAAGCATGATGATAGGATCAGTAACTTGTTCAATTTCCTATCGTGGCTTCTCATAAAAGATGCAGTTTCAACCTCAATTCTATCAATCAGATGGCGATATCTGTTTCCCTTACTGTTTAATCTTCATGTTAATTCTGAAATATTTGAGTTTTTGTCCTCTACATACTATTAAGAGCTTCACGTACTTCATGGATAAAATGTTGTTTTTCCATACTGAGATTATATTATGCTTCAAAGCATGAGATGACTATCTTAATGTCTTCCCAGAGTTGTAGATTCCTTTACTCAAATATTTATTCAAAGCATGAGATGTATGGTAGATCCCTCCGAATATGAACTATTAGTCACAGTGTAATAGATCCCTCTGCCGGAAGACCTCAAATTGTATATGGGTGCCTCTGTAGCTTCCCTCCACTTTAAACATATTGTTATAGTAAACCTAGTGAGATGTATCTAAGTGAGATACATCTACGGCTCTACCAGTCTAGTGGCAAATACCTTTGCTTTTTATAGCACGAGATGCATTTACTATCTCCCTATGATGATTGCGTCACAAATCCCTCCAAAGACGAACGTTAATGTTAGCATAGCATATCCTTCCAGAGATAAATTGATAGTCACGAAGTGTTGTAAACCTTCTATCTATACAATGTATGGAGACTTTATAGTGATTGTTCGATCCTTCTTTCAGTATGGAAAAACAACATTTTATCTATAAAGTTTGTAAAGCTCTTAATAGTAAGGCGAGGAGAATGCATAAATATGTGAAAATCAACATCAAGATTAAATATTGAGGCAAATAGAAATCACCCTCTGATTGATAAAATGAAGGTGGGAATGGCATCTTTTATGGGAAGCGACAATAGGATGCGAATTAGAATGGAATCAGACAAGTTACTGATCATATCATTCGTGCTTTGCTTTCTACCCATATAGGATGCCATGGAAGTTCAACCTTTTAAGGACAAATGAAAAGATAAATAGCATTGAATAGTTTGATAAGGAAGAGTTCACCAAGACCAAGCAAGCAGTCAAGCACTAGAGCCAAGTATACTCGCTGCCAAGTATACTCGCTGTTCAAGGGATTCATCTAAGCAATATGTAGAATTCCTTCAAACCCAAAAGCCACGGTGTTTTTATAATAGAAACAAATGATAGTCCCAAATACTTTGCAAGAAAATCAAGATGAAGTCAATTGCATGAATATATGTAAAAGCTGATGTTCCAAATCTCTCTTTCTCTCTCTCTCACACACACATACATAAATGAGAACTAAACAAGAACAGATATATATATATATATATACACACACTCTTTCATTGGTAAAAACAGGAATTTACTAACCTATTTATTACTGGACAGCAGCAGACGAGAGCGACGGGAAGGAGAGCCCAGCGAAGACGGAGGAGGGTTTTTTCATGGCTTTAACTTGGGATTTTTTTTCCTTTGTTTTCCCGTAAGTTTCAATAAGATTTTTAAACAAAATAATCTAAAATCACTTTTTAGAAATTAATTTTAAAAAGATACTTTTTCATTATACTTTTTTAAAAGCATTACCAAATATTGTAAATTATATCATTAAATTATTATTATTCGTGAATATAATTGAATTAAATATAACTGAAAGTTTTTATTATAGTCCTAAATCTTTAAAAGAAAGTGTAAAAGAATAATATAATTTCATATATAATTGAAAGCTATCAATTATATATTCTATTATTATTGTATAAAGGGAATTTAAAAAATATATTTTAATATAATATAATTTTGAATAAATTACACCTTTAGTACTTCAACTATCACTTTATGCGGAGGTTTTCATTTGTAGTCTTAACTTAGATTGTAGTCTGTAGCTCTCGAACTTTTTAATTCTCTAGCTCACAATTGACTTGAATTAGAAACTATTTTAAAATAATTTTATAAGCGGGAAAAAATTATGAAGTATACTTAAGTTATATTTAAAGCCTTAAAAATAAATAAATAAGGAAGAAATAAATTTTACAATACATGATATATTTAAAGCCTTAAAAATAATTGTCATTTTTTAAAAATAACTTTACAATACATGATGATTTTTTTAATTTATTTGTATTGTTAAAAAGAAGCCCACTGCCAATATACTTATTTTCACACTTAAATATCCCCTAATTATCACTTCAAAAAACTTATCCCTTTATTATTTTAAATATTCATTTAAAACATAAATTTTTATATTCAGAATTATGATTTAAATATTCATAGTTAAAATTTTATCATTTTAAACATTTTTGTACTCACTACATGCATGAAATAGATTATATTATTTCTTAATTTTTAAAATTTGATTTTTTATTTTGTATTAGTTGAGTAATTCAAACCACTAAATTAGATTAATATTATAATGGTATAGTTATATGAATTATAAAATAAGTTGGATCCAAAGTATTAGTTTAATTTAATAAGATTTGGGTTGTTGTAGTTGCCACATTTGACCTAAGCAACCATCCATGGCCTCAGTCTACCATCAACAACACCACATTCTTCCGACCTCAACAACTTTTCAAAATAATTACATAATTTTGAATAAAATATTCAAATTGAATTTTATTACGCACATGACAAATAAACAAATTTTATTTATAAAAAATATAATAATTTATCATAAAAAGAAAGATTTGTAAAATTTTTAGGCTTAAAACATAATATATATAATGATAGGGTGACATAAAGGATATATAAGATTGTATGTTTGATGATAAATTTATAAATTTTTAAAACAGAATAAATCTATAAAATTTTAGAGGATCAAAATAAATTTTCAATCGAAAATAAAAAAAAACATCTAAACATAAAAAAAATTAAAATTTATAAGGAAAGACGACCGCTCTCATTCATTTTTCTATCCTTAAAGAGATAAAGTAAACGCAGAAAGAAGAAAAAGAATTTGCATTAAATATGAGTAATCAAACAGTGTTAAACAAATCAACCTAAGTAACTAATGTGTTATATCACTGTTTGCTATTACAAAACGATTATTAATAGTTAAGTGACTGATTTATTAAATTATTTATAATTTAATGATCATTTAGGTAGTTTATCGAACTTTTTTATGTATATGGTCTTATAAAGTTTTCTAGTAACACGTATTGTTCTTTTCAACTATTCGCCGCCTTATTGCGGTCTTTAAACTTTAAGGGAAATTGTGCAAAAGACCCAGGCAATTTTTTTTTTGAAAATTCGTGGACTAGATGGGATTTTCGAACTTTCTGGTACCATTGTTTGAAGGTTATAAAATTTTATTTTCCCCTTATTGATTCTTTTCAAGTTTTTAATAAACAGCAGGTTGCATAAGAATTACAGAATTTTCTAAAAAAAAAATTCTCCATACCCATTTCGAGCTTTGATCAAGTAGTTTGAAAACAAAATGAGTTTTAGCATTAAGCAATCGGGTTTAGCTAGCTGCATGAATGCCACAAATTGTGGTCTTCACAAAAGACCACCTTTAACAATTTGTAGATCTTCCTTTTCACCATCTTTGAACCTTGAAAACAGTCCCAAAAGAAGCAATCTTTCAGTATCAAAGCCCTTGCATGTCTCATCCATCGAGAGTATTGGTAAGGAGAAAAAGCCA